CCTTCTGGTGGTGGTTGCCGGGGGTCACGGGGATGAAGGCTGATAACTCTTCTTCATCACCACTGGTTGACCTCCTGCCTTTGTGCAGACTCTGCTGCTCCTTGGCTCTTGTCCAAACCACAAGGTTGGTCTCAGCTGTTTTTTGAGACAGGTTCCCCATTTTTGTCAGGAACCATCCTTTGTGAGGGGCCCCAAGGCTCCTTGTTTCAGTTAGTTTGCACAGTAGTAAGCAAAGACACTCAGCAACATCTATTTTTAATGTGATTAAGCAAGCCCCCATTCTTCTATACCTGGCTTCACCACCACCTCCCTGGGCAACCCGTGACAATGCCTGACTGCTCTCTCTGAAAAGAAATGTCTCCCAGTTTCCAACCTAAACCTCACCTGGCACAACTCAAGGCCATTCCCTCTAGTCCTATCACTAGTTATCTGCAAGAAACGGCTGACTCCCAGCTCCCCACAGCTTCCGTTCAGGTAGTTGCAGAGAGCAATAAGGTCTCCCCTGAGCCTTCTCTTCTCCAGACCAAACAAGCCCAGTGCCCTCAGCTGCTCCTCACAGGACTTGTAGTTCAGACCCCTCATCAGCTTCGTAGCCCTCCTCTGGACATGCTCCAGGGCCTCGATGTCCTTCTTGCAGTGAGGGGCCCAGAACTGAACGCAGCACTCGAGGTGCGGCCTCACCAGAGTGAGATGGGGAAGATGCTAAAACCTATCTGAATTAGTATTTAGCTACATATATGGTAAAATATCCTAATTATTGGGGATACGGATGAGAACCTAAAAATATCCTAATTATAGGGCTGTAGATGAGAAACAGATGTAAAAAGAAGATATTGTTCAAGGCCAATGGAGGAGGGAAGAACGAACATCTCGTTAGGAAAGTACGAACAACTTGTTGGCAGGAAACAAGGCAAAGATAAGCAAAAAAGGCCTAAACTGTGCAACAGAAGGTCAAAGTCCACAAAGGTAAAGAAAGTTTAACCTCCTCTTCCTCATTGCCTTCATCCTGAAAGACCCCTGCCCACAACCACCAAACTACACTGCACAGGAGCAACTGGAAGATGTCAAGCCTAATGATAGGACAAGGGGGAATGGTCTTAAATGTTGCAGGAAGAATGTCCGAAAACACGACAGACACTAGTATAGTCAGATCATGCTCTCCCTTTATTACCCAAATAGCCTGATTTTATAGTAAACTTAACAGGGGCGGAGAGTGTCTCACACAAGATTATTGGTCAAAAGCACTCAGACAAACAACTGCACGAAAACAACCCCACCTGCAAGAAAACAACCCCCTTGTGATTAGCAGTCACGTAGATCCCGTCCTTGAAGTCAGCTGCTGGCAACAATATTTTTCTAAATTCCTCAATTGGGTGATGTGGGAACACTGTCATGGGAACTTCTCATAGTTGTCCTGGTAGCTTGGTTTGCTCAGCTGCAGCAAGCCATGGCATCTTTGCTGTTTCAAAAATCCCTCAACAATTAAACATAGAGAGAACATATTTAGATTAGACATCAGGATGAAATTCTTCACTGAAAGGGTGGCGAGGCACTGGAACGGGTTGCCCAAAGCAGCTGTGGATGCCCCAGCCCTGGAGGTGTTCAAGGCTAGGCTGGATGGGGCCTTGGCCAACCTGATCCGGTGGGTGGCATCCCTGCCTATGGCAGGGGGGTTGGAGTTGGATGAGGTCCCTTCCAACCCAAGCCATTCTATGGTTCTATGAATTCAGGTGGCTGTTGTTTCACGTTAGTAAACTTAGTGAAGCCTTATGCCACGGCACGAGCTCTGCATCACCTGGTGTATAGTGCTGACTGAGCACCAGTGAGTGACATTGTGTGGGGGCCTGGGTGGCACTGATGGGAAAGGGGGAGACGTGCTGACCAGAGCCTGCAAGATAACAGGAGCCACCTTGCGTTGGGAGGTAACAGAAGCCATCCCGTCCTGCAACAAAGAACCACCAACCTGAAGGAACAAAACATATATATATTCAGAACGGAGTATAGCGGACAAAATGAAGGTTGTACAGGTATAAGAAGCCAGGGAAAGTGTCGTGTGGGGTCCCAGTTGATATTTGTGTCCCATTACATTCTTACTGCTTTAACTAAGAGTTGACTCTTTGGGTGAATCTCAGACAGCTGGGGAGACCCATTCTGCTAGGTGGAAACAACAGGATTCCTTCACAGCGGTGTCATTCTGCAGCCAGATGGTGTTGCTGGTGCCTCCTCCCCCTGCAGGAAGGCAAAGCAGCAGCCCTGCTCGGACACACTGGAGGAACCAGGCACACTCTTGCTGTGAGTCCTGAATGGGTTTTGCTCTTTCTGTTCCGCTCTTCCCCAGCCGTCTCCGTCCACCTCTAAAGCTTTGCCCAGATGGCTGGCAGGGCTTGATGGCTGCAACAGAGGGACAACGTTGCTCTCACCTGCTGGCTCAGGCCCCCCCTGCCCTAGGCCTGCCCCACCCCTCACACCCATGGTTCCTTTTGTTCCCACATCCCTCAGGTTAGAAGCCCTAAGCATTCACTTGGAGTTGTAGAGAGGTACCTGGAGCCAGGGGTAAGACAGGGAGATGCCCAGGCCAGGAGAAACTGCAGGATGCGTGCAGCCCCTGAGCTGTGCCAGGGACAGGGTCCTTGGCCCCATGCTGTCTTGCTGCCACTGCACCAGGACATGGCAGGAGCTGTGCACACTTACTGTTGCAGTGAGGTCTTCACTGGTATATGCTTTGGCTCCTATCGCCAAACCTCCCTCCTCTCCTGGAGCTCTCTGTCATACTCTCTTCTTATGGTGTAGGATGAAGGAGGGGACCAGTAGGATTTCTGGAGAGAGAGCGAGGCTTATCAAGCAGCAGGCAAATGAGCGTGCCCAGAAGCACCAGCCCAGTGGGGGACTGCATCAGGGACACTGCAGATGTGCCAGGGGATTTTGGAGAATCATCGCTGCAAGTCCCCATGGAGGTGCCAAGGTCAGAGCAGGGGCTCGCTGCGCTTCCCAAGTGGCACAGCTGAGACACAGCAGTTATCTGCTGGGGACCTCATTTTCTTTTTTATAAACTTCTTACCAGGTAATCGTATTCTCTGTTTTCCTTTTTGGCTGTTTTAGCAACCTCCAGCTTCCATGCAGCACGTGCTCTCTGTTATGCAATGAGGGAAAGAAAAAAAAAAAAAAGGAATGTATTTTGGCTTGAGGGGCCAGCAAAGGAATGATCCCTGCATAGCACAGCACAGGAGGCACCTGGGGATTGTGCAGCCTTTCTCTGGACACAGCCTAGTCTGCTCCTCCAAGCACAAGAGCATTGAAGGCTTCGTCTTTCAAGCACTGAAGCCAAAGGAACAAACTTGTTTCTTTTTATGTCAGGGTGGCTGGTGAAGTCCAGAGGTTTTGGTTACAAATCAGACTTAAAAACCTCACTGTACTAGGAGGGGCAAACCAGTACATCACGCCTGTAGCAGAACAGGTGAGCATGAAGAGCTGCCCTGCGCCCAGCTCTCCCCTGCAGGCAGCCACCTGGGGCTGGGATAGCCCTTGCCTGGGAGAGCTGCTGCTCCGATGCCAGGGCTGGCAGCCTTGGTGGAGCCTCCCCATGTTCAAGGTAGGAAGGAGAGGGCTGGGTTTGTCTGCTACTTGACGAATTGTCCACTGAGTCCGGTATTGAGCAATTCTCTCTCCTGGACAGGAGCAGAGGAGACTCAGAGACAGCAGTGAGTTGCCCCCCGGGTTTTGGGGAAACAACTCAGCAGCCCTGCGAGGGGACAGAAGTGCCAGTCCTCTGTGTGGCTGAGGTCACTGCCAGTACCTGGGCGCGCAGCGCTGCCATCCTGGCCTGCCAGGCCTGCAGTTCTGCCCACTCAGCCCTTTCTTGCTCTTCCTTCTGCTTCAGCAGGGCTGCCCGCAGACTTCGTTCCTCTTGCTGCATGCACAGGTAGCAGACCTCCTGGGGGGCCACAGACACACACCACAGACAGAATTAATCTCAGGACTTGGGGAGCTCCTGTGCCTCGTACTGAGCATCCGACTCCTAATGCCATTAGCGAAAAGTCCCCTGCTCTGAACAAGGCACAACAGGGAGTGTCTTCTTCCTTTCCATGCACACCTAACCGTTCCCCTTTGGTCCTAAGACCTTCTAGCAAGACAAAACTTCACTCAGTGCAACTTATACCCACTGCTCCTTGTCTTCTCCATGTTTGCCCTTGTGAAAGGAGAGCTTCTGTTGGCTTTGTCCTTTAAATACTGGAATACCCTTTGCCACCCTTTAAATACTGAAATACTGTGATGAGGTCCCCCCAAGCCTTCACTTCTCCAGGGTGAAATGGAGTTGGACTTGATGATCCTTATGGGTCCCTTCCAACTCGAGATATTCTATGATTCTACGATTCTATCAAAAGACCCAGGTTCCTGAGTCAAAGACCCAAGTTCCTCAGTCTCTCCTCACAGGGCTGATTCTCCAGCCCATTGATCATCTCCGTGACCCTCCTTTGGACTCTCTCCAGTCTTTTGGGCATGACCATCAGTGCTTCTCCACTCCTCAATGCAATGCAGAACTGACATGGGGCAAGATCACGTACCTGTCCTACTCTCTGATGGCCTTTGCAGGCAGGGATTTCAGTTTTCCTCCTGACGTGGTGCGTCATTTTTTTCATGCCCTTCTTTGAATAGTCCTTCTCAATGGCTGGTGGCACACTAAAAATACAAAGCGGGTAGTGTTGGGACTCCACCAAATACACTTGCATCTACTTTGTGAGCCCGTTCCTCTGCAGTAGAAGGTGGTTGTTCAGCAGAGCTGTATAGCCAACGATTTGTGTTCTCAAAGACAGAGAAAGAGGTGCTCAAGACTAAGCCCTCTCTGAGTGGGACAAAGAGAAAGACAGCATCATCTGAGATGATGGTCTTGTGCAAAGGCCCCAGCTGACAGTGACTTGAAAGACATCACACTGCTTGAGCACCTGAAAGTGGTCACGCTGCTGTGCTTAGGGTTGCAGGGACGGTGTGAAAGGAGACGGGGACATAGGGAGAAAAGCAGAACTGCCAGTTATCTCCTGCAGGAAAACTTCCATGCCCTTTGCCCAGCAGTGTGGCTGACACAAACATCTCCCTGCCACCATGACCAGGGCACACCAGTACCCGCTACGTCTCTCCATCTCTCTCACCTCTCAGGGGGCTTGTCTCCTGCAGCTTGCCCTCCCCGTCCATCCTTTGGTTTCAGCACAGGAAGCATCATGGGGGAAAGCCTCCTTCGGGGCAGCAGGGGCTTACTGGGAAGATGCCCTTGAAGCAAGACGTGAGAAAGGCCTTCAGACCTCCAGGCCACAGCCACGTCCTTGTGGCAGCTCAGACCAGAGGTGCCTGTGGAACTGCTGGGTACTGGTGGGATGCTTTCTGTGGCAGTGACCCTGATGGAGTCACATTTCCTAGGAGGCTCTCAGTCCTGTGACAGTGCTCAAGTGAAAGAGCACTCGGCAAGATCTGCTCGGGAATGGGGTGGTGTGGGGAAGTGTCCTGCTGCAGAGGAGCTGCAACTTGGGGCAGTGGGCACGCTTTGGGTAGTCTGGGCTTGCGTTACCTTCACTCGCTCTCTCCTTAGCCAGGTCTTCTGCCAAGACTTCCTGTTTTTCAGCCTCAAACTTCATCTTCAGGCTGGCTAACAGTGCGCTAAACTCATTGCTGGATGGACAGAAGGTGAGAAGGAATTAGGCTGACCCCCGTGTCTCACAAAACACTGCCGTATACCTGCAGTCTGGCTGGCAAACACCATCCCTTCTGAGATGTGCTAATAGCCTTTCAGAGCTAATATAGATGGCATGTCCAAGAGAAAGCTCCCGCTCCCATGACTACCAGACCATCCCATTGCCCTTATCTGCTTTCCCAAGAGCCTCACTTGTCCACAGTCTTCCTTCTACTGTCCCTGTTGCCCCTTCTCGTCCTTTGCCGCTTTCAGTCTGCTCAGTGGACGTTTCTTTTGGTGGCGGGGATGCTTAGCCTGAGGGCTGCCTGCCCCTGGGAAAGAAGACACCTCTTCAGAACAGCGCCTTTGTGACCACATGGACAAGGGGAGGTGCAGACCTGCTCAGTCCTTACTCGGACAGTCCTTACTTTCTTTCTCACTGTCTCGCTCGGTGGAGGAAAGCTCTCCAGCTTTTCTGCCAGGGGGTAGCTTGATCTTAAACCTAGAAAGAAGAAGACATGAGCTGGAGGAAAGGGCTCCACCTCCCCTGAGCAGGCAGTGACAGTGATAGCTGGCAGTCACTACAGGGCCTACAGATCACTAAAGCAGTGTGTCCAGACTATTTACCACCTTGGAGGGCTCTCACTGGGTGGCACAGACTGGAGCCCCTCGGCCTCCAGCAGTGCCTCCCTGCTGCAAGCTCTTGATGTGTGCAGCGCCAGCTCTGCCCCTTGTGCCATCAGGGGACCTGCTCAGCTGGGCTCGTCCCAGTGCAGAGCTCTGCAGGGCCCCACTGGACCACAGAGCCTCCCTTTGGGCCACCAAGTCCCTCCTCCACTCCCTGTTGCTCCAAGAAGAAGGCAGCCCTTTGGAGACGTTTCCTTCACTGCAGTCTGAGGAAAGTCTGGGAAATGTCCCCAGCACGACTTGTACCAGGCCTTTGAGCAGCTGAACTACCCTTGAGAGGCCTCTCAGGTACAAGCCAGGAGAGAAGACATTTGAGAAGCTTTTTCAAATGCTTTTTGCCATTGCCCTACCAAGAAAGGGAACGAGGAGATGAATCTCGATGGGAAAGGATGCCTGAATTGCTCTCCAGGTCCAGCTGGGAGTGCAGAGCACAATCCCTCCTCCAAACTAAAGCAGGAGAGGACAGCCAGAGTCCAGAAGCAGAAAGCACACGTGGAGGAAGCTGTCCATTCTTCCATCATGGAGGGATTCCTGGCAGGAATCCTGGCAGGAGCAGGCAGCTCTGGTGACAGCCCTACCAAGGAGGAGCTGAGGAGCCAAGGGCTGCACAAGTGCATGTACTCACGTCGGAAGCACGCGGATCCCACCAGGACGCACGTGGAAAGGATCAGGTTCTTTGCCTGACAGCACGCAAATCTTTGTCCGTGGGTTCTGCCGAAAGAACAGAGATGTGGCAGATGAGGCCCCAGAAAGGATCCCATTGCCCACAAAGGCAGCACTCCTTGCCACTGCTCAGTGTAGCTCCCTCAAGGAAATTCTTCCCCCGCTCCCTTTTCACCAGCAGCACAACAGAACTCGCCCTACTCTTGTGCTCTGTCCCCAAGCTGCTGGGAGTGGGATCCCAGGCTAGGGAGGTGTCTGGCTTGAGCCTCAGAAAGAGCCCTGGAAAAAAACAAACTTACGGAGAGCAGACATTCTAAGACAGTTCCAGTCCCATCAATGGCGAGGAGAAACTCTGGGTGGTATCTCATCGTGAGGATCTTGTTTCGGCTCATCAGAGAACCGATGCCCTTGAAAACAAGGTCGTAATCCTCCCCCAGTCCGGCACCCCAGGCGAAGAGTACCACGATGTCATTCACACACTCCTTCACCAGCTTCTCGGGAATGGATGTCTTTTGTGACAATTCAGAATAGTCCAGGGGGACAACTTTGAGGTCATCTAGAAAACAGCAAAAGAGGAACAGCATCAGGTGGGCAGTGGCTCATCAGCCTGACAGTGCCTCAAAGGCTTTGTGCCCTTGGCATACCGGGGATGTCGCTGTTGGTGTAGCTGAGCCCCTGCGCCCGTGCGACCCTCTCTGACAGGTGAAACCTGGGCACAACCATGTCCCTGTTCACCTCGCCGCTGTGCTTCTGCAGTATGTAGAAAACGCCAAGCACATCTACAGCTACACCCTGTGGAGAGCAGAGAACAGAAGTGCTTTTAGAAGGACACGTACTCGTTGGAGTGAGACACTGGCATTCTGTGCTTCCTCTGCTCTGGAGGTGCAAGGAGGTTGGATGGGGCTCTTCAGAAAGAGTTGGAGAAGAGCCGCTCAGGAGAAGACATGTTGTTTTCTCCTATCTCCTCTTCCCCCTTATAGCACAGAAGGAGAGTAAAAGCCAAAAAAGCACCCTGGAGCTCTGTAAGGCCTGAGGGGTGCTGAGCAATTGAGTGATCCCTGAGAAGAGTCCCAGGCTTTCTGCTGGGCTGCCTCTGCCTTCCGACTGTGAGAGCAGGAAGGTGCCAGGAAGGCTTGAAGCTTCTCTTCTAACAGATCCAAATTTCCTTCTTGGCATCGGATGTCACAGGAGCAGTGCTGCCCCACCTCCATGCCCTTCAGGAACATTTCAGAGAAGTGGGTGGATGGCTGCACTTGATGTCAGCGGGGCTGCCAGGACTGCAGAAAGCATCCACGTGCCAGGAGGAACAGCTCACCTTTTTCAGTGCAAACTGCTGGAGCATGTACTGGGACACACCGTCCCAAATTCTTATGACATCTGAAAAGCAAGGGAGAGACACGTCAGGCCAGCAAGCCCACCTCCATTCAGCTCCTGCCCAAGCACGGAGCTGGAGTGCGCAGCGGTTGGCAGAGGTGTCAGCCGGAGCAAATGCAGGTAGGGGCTACAGGGCTGAACTCTTGGCTGCCTTCAGGCTCTCAGCCTCAGGGTGAGCCTGAGAGAGGGCTGGGCTCAGCCAGGGGCAGCAGAAGGGACTTGGGCACTGGCATCCCACCAGCTGGTGTCTGCAAGGGGAAGTGGCCCCCCAGCTCCAGGCCCCTTCTGCCCATCTGGAAAGACCAGAAGAGCCAGCGGGGAACAGCCAGAGGCTGTGGCTGGTTGCAAGGAAAGCCCAGATTGCCAACACATGTGTTTCAGGAAGTTTCTAGAAATGCGGGGAGGTCAGACAGCCTACAACAGGTTCCCCTGTCCTTCCTTTCTCTGCCCTTCTCTCCCTTTCCCTTCCAATGCTGATCTCCAGAGCTGACCCTCTCCCTGGGGAAGTGTCACCACAGATTTCCTGCCACTGTCACCCTTCAGCCATACGGGACAACCACTTGGGGCCTCCTGCACTCCTCCCCAGCCCTCCCCGCAGCTGCAATGTTGGGGACTGATATCACTCAATAACACCGGTGGCACAGCTCCTGAAGGCCTTACCATCCAGGCCGAGCACCCGCAGCGCGGGGAGCTTGACAAAGGGAAATTGCATCCTTGTGGTGGGGATTCTCAACAGGAAACTCCTTCTCCACTCTCCTCCTCCTCTGCACTTCTGTGCAGCGGGGACAGTGCATGTGGCAATATGGCAGCTGTCACTGTGACATAAGGGGTCCCACTCCAACCTCAAGCATGACATCACTGCGGGGCTGTCGCAGACACCCTCCCAGTGAAGAACCTTTTCCTGATCTCCAGCGTCAACCTCTCCTGTTGCAGCTTGAAGCCATTCCCTCAGGTCCTATCGCTTGTTATAAGTTGCCCCCTTAATTAATTTTCAGAGAGCGTTGCATTAATAATAGAAAGGAATTTATTGAGTAAGCAACAGCAAGCAGAACAGCGCTGGGCAGCCGGGGAGTCTCAGCTCCGCCAATGGCGCACGCCTCACCCCCACCAGGGTCCCTTTTTATATCTTGGTAATTCTGGGATTACGCAGCACATCCTGGTATATTCTGCGACTGCGCGCACTGTTGCTAGGGGGTCGTCTCTGTCCCTCTGGTGGTCGTGAAGATGAAGGCCATAGTCTTCCTCGGCATTGTGGTTCAACTTCTTTTTATTTGGTCACGTTGGCCCAGCGTGAGACAGGAAGGCAGGATGTTGAGACACTAGGTTAGCAACTTATCAGGAGATGGTTACGTGAGCTTTGCAGCAGTGTCTTTGAACAAAAGAGGCAACTGAGATGCAGAAGGAGAATAAAGGAGCAGAATAGAGCCGGTTGGTCTTTACGGGCATTTTTCTTAGAGCACAAGAGCATTCAATTCCCACGTGTAAGAAATCAAGGGAGCAGCATGGCTGAATCAGGAACTCCTGGTCAAGAAGCGTGTGAGAAGGAAATGCACAGGAACCAGGAATCTGTATCCTGGGAAGAATACAGGGATGCTGCCTGCACGTGAAGGAATGGGATCACCAATGTTAAGGCAGAGCTGTGAGCTTGCCTTTCACCCTGCCCCCTGCTCCAGGGGTCCTGAACTCCATCCTCTCATGGTGGAGCCACCAGAGGGTGGAGTCCACGTTCCCCACAGTTCCCTTCACATTCTCCACAATTCCCTTCATGTTCCCCAAAATTCCCTTCAGATCCTCCATAATTCCCTCCACATTCCCCACAAGCCCCCAGCTTGCTGCTGAGCACGAGGCCCAGCAGAGCTCCTCTCCTCGTTGGCTCCCTGTCCCTTGCAGCAGGCAGTGACCGCAGTGCTCCAGGAACCTGGAGAGCTGGCGTCCTGCTCTGCTGTCCCTCCAACAGACCCCAGGGTGGTTGAAGTCCCCCACAAGGACCAGGCTGGCATACGTGGGGTTGCACCTACCTGTCTGTAGGGCTTCATCTGCTTGTTCTTGTTGGGTGGCCTGTAGCAGAGTCCCACTACAATGTCACCTAGCCCTGTCCTCCCTTTAATTTAAAGCCACCAGCTCTCAGCCAGCTCCTTGTCCATCCTCAGGCAGAGCTCTGTGTGCTCTTGCAGCTCTCACACAGATGGCAGCAACCCCTCCTCATCTTCCCAGCCTGTTCCCAAATAGCCTGTGTCCTTCCATTGCAATACTCCAGTATGGGAGCAATCCTGCCATGTCCCAGTACAATTGTGGCCCTGAAACTGTACGCACATCTCTAAGTCATCACATTCATTCCTCATACTACATGCATCAACGTACAGGCACCTCAGGGACACACCCCAGCATGTTGGGTTCCTAGAAAGGGTTTTGGGGATTTCTCCACAATGGTGCCTTGTAGGCATTTCCTTGCTAACCTGCAGTGCTGCAGGACTCCGTGTCCCCCCAAGAGGGAGTCACTCATTACAACTTGCTGTTTCTTCCTGGTGGCCTTGCATGGTAAACCACACAAGTGGTTTACGGTTGGATTCCTTGTGTGGAGGCATGTCTGCCTCCTCTTCAGTGTTGAGGGCAGCAAACCTACTTTGTAGCTGTAAGTCTTTACATGGGACAGGAGCCTTCCTCTGGTGCCAGAAGTCACCAGCTTAAGTCACAGTCACCAGATTAGAGGCTGTGATGTGGGCTGCAACGTAGGGCTTGCCTGGAATGGCACGTAGGCCATACTGGCATCGTGCCCTCAAATTCCATTGTGAATCTGTGATGCCTTCAACAGAGCATTATACACCAACAGTTTAAAAAAAAACAACAACAAACAAACAAACAAAAAACAAACTGAAAAAGCAAACAGGAAACACATTTTGTAGAGAAAAGAATGCTCAGCTTAGCAGACAGGTGTGTAGGGCGTGGAAGAAAAGTTTATTTTAGCAGTTGGTATGGAATTCTGTGTCACACTGGCACCCACGCTGGAGTTTCTAACTGTAGTGTTATACAGGAGTCCCACCAGCCAGCGCTGGTAAGATTTAGTAAATGACTCCAGCACAAGGCATCCCACTATAAGGCATCAGGTAGTGTTGATTAAACATGCTTTGGGTACAGGCCATTCCTTAATGGTACTGCTTTATCCAAAATAACTGCTTGTAATAAATATAAACATGATGATTTACACTCCCAAGTCAAGTAGGACAGACCAAGGGCTGACCTGTAACCAGGCCTAGGGCAGCAAGGGTTCTTTCTGATGTCACCAGCGTCAGCTTCCCTATCTTCAAATCTATAGGCAACATATACATAAGGCACAACGCTGTTAAGGTTCCACACTAGCAGAGAGCAAGTTAAGATTTAAATATGATTGTATTTACATGATTAATTTTCTTTGGTTTTAAATTATCTTGCAAAAGCTGAAGCAAGTCTATATTGTGCACTCTCCCTGTATTGACGAGGTTCATTTTTCGCTCTGCAGCTTCCTACATTCTGTGTCTAAATTTGCTTCAGTTGATAAGTTTTGCTGGTAAATGCAAAGGCAAAGGGACAGCTTGTCAGAAAGCAAAAACAATGTAGATTTGGTTAAAGTGTTCTGTTTAAGATGAGCTTTACTAGCCCAATATATAAATGTATATAAATGGATGTTGTGAGCATAAAAGCTTATCGTAAGGGTCAAATGGAACTGCCATTTCATTAATTAACCTAAGTCAGTACTTATAGCAATTAATAAGCTATCTGGGGAAACAAGTTGAAGGAGCTAAATCCTTATGATGCCTCCCATCATCCAGGCAATATACCGGGCATCATTTAATCCTCTCCACCGCAGAGTCTGAGCAGAACTTTTCTGTAGTCTCCTGAGCAATCTCCCTAGAAAGAAAAGAGAAAAAGGATCATGATTTATCTTACAGCTCTATGAAAGGCTGGATTCTTTCAGCACATACATTCCCCCTCTCCTTTTTTTTTTTTCAGGGTTTGTATCCTTTTTGACAATGAAAATTCAAGAACATTTTCGGTACATTATTCTAGTGTCTTAATTTCATCTGCTCTAAAATACCCAGTAGGTGTCAGGTAGCTGTCTCCTTTAAGCCACTTAGCAAATCCAGCTCTTTGTTTCTAACACCAAGAAGTTTACCTTAATGAAGGAGTAGAGAGATTTCCCATACATGGTCAGGAATTCTCTTCTGATATCGAGCATATCTATTTCAGAGCGGGACACCATCACTCGGATCAGCGTGTTGTCATCTGTTCCCAGGCCCTAAAAAGCAATCCAACCACATACAACTAACTACAAAATGTTTTGGATAAACCAGCGAGAGACACAAAGGTTTTCTTGCTCAGTCTTCTGCATAATCTGTTGCTAATTAGAGCATTTTTGCATTAAAAGTGTGATCCACTAGCAGCTTTCTGCGTAGGAAGATTATTACTTTGAGCTTCAAGAAAGTCTGAGCTCTTCCAGAAAAGCTCAGATCTATTTCCCCATTAACAGTAGTGTTTATCTAATGATTGCTATGATGCTACTGACTTGAGCATGGAAATACAAGCCAAAAAAAAAAAAAAAGACAAAAAAAAAAAGAAATCTCACATTAAAAAATCTTTACCTTCATGGATTTGTACAATCTTTCAGCAAAATATGCAGGTTTATTGCGCATGCATTTTACTGTAAGAGATAAAAACAAGAAATGAAGGTCAGTAAAAACAGGAAGAGAAGGTTTTCCACACCTTTGCAGAACTTTCTTTGCGGAGGTGTTTGTTCTGTGAAGATACAATTGAAGGCTGACAAATAGCAGGTGCAATGCAGAGACATCATAGAATGGTTTGGGTTGGAAGGGATATCCACAGACAGCGACCTGCTGTGAGCTGACGTCTCTGTGCTTAGTGCACAGCTGTATGCTCTTTAATGCTTCAGTGCCTCCTGACAGCAAATGTCAGCTGCCAAAGCATCACTTAGCCAAGTAAACTATGTGATAAAGCACAACACTTTCTCACCTGATTGTATCTGTATAGCGTAAAAACAAACAAACAAACAAACAAAAAACCACAAATAAATCATGGCTGCCTCCTCTAGCTATGTAAAGCAGTCAAAACAAGATGCAACATCTCTAATTATGTAATTAATTTGCAGACAAAGTTTAAAAGCAGGGCACTCACCCACAGCTAGCAAAGCATCTTCAAGGTCTCCTGACATCTCAGATTTAATGCTGTCTGTTATGTCCTTATTAGCAATCCCTCTGTATACATCAAAAACTAGGAGGAAGAATCCGTGATAAAAAGTCAGAGAAATTCCTAGCGGCATGAAGCATGCAAACCACAAAGGATCTCTTTGCAAGATCAAGCACCTCACATTCTGCATGATCACTGTATCATTACTGCAGCATTGTAAACTAAATCAGGGCTGTCACACAGAAATAATTCATTTTAATTATTAACTGTGTTGCTAATTGGCCCACCATGGCTGCTAGCATTTCCAAGACCTGCTAGTTAATTATGACAGTTTAAAAGCTTAGCTTCTTTCCTCTCTGCCCCAATGGGAGTCAAACTTTATTATCTCCAATTTAAAAGCTGGAAGCAGCAGCAAGTTGTACCTATGTTTTTTTCTCAAGCCCCTTTTAGTCTCAGGAGGGAATAAAACAGCTTGAAAGAAATGGATACAACTGGGCTCTCTCTAGGACACCTGCTGCCTCAGAGGAGTTTGCAGTTACTGAACACATATGAAGACCTACAAAAGCATCATGTTCAAACAAAGAAGGAAAAAAAATATTCCAGGACACTGTGGAGGGTCCTACCTCTTAGCAGGTGACACCTGTTCCGTGTACAGAGGATGGACATAAATTGCACCTCATCTGTTCCCCACTTCTTCTCCCCCGCTTCATACAGGCACTTAAAGACAATGTGAATAGACAAAATAAGGCCAATGGGGAAAACTGGGTGTATATCAGATGAGATTTTTACTTCCTTGGTGCTTGAGCACTGCTGGCCTGTGGCCTGTCTAGATCACAGATGTTTTCCAACATCTAATGAAGCACAGCAACTCTCAATGGAACTGTCATCTCCCCTGCCAAACACCCAGTCTGTTTAGAACTCTCTCATCAGAGCCTCACAAACAAGGCTTGAACCATTACCCCCATTTCACAGCCTGAGGCACAGAACAGCAAAGAGGCTTCTCTAAGGGTCAAAACTGAGAACAGAGACCAGGTCTCCACCTAGGGTGCTACTGTCTAACATAGCTTCAGGTTCACTCTCTTGCCTTGAAAAAAAGAGAGGTCTTGGAAAAGCAGGGATTCACCATGCATCATGTAGAGATGAACAGACTGTTCTTGCAAGGAAGAAAATTACTACACACCTGAGCATCTTGCTGAGCAAGGGCATCATCCACATACATCCCCTCATCTCTGTTTCCCTGCAGACAGACAAGGACAAAAGACTCAGTTCACCAGAACAACTACTGGAAGCAATTCCCTATTCAAAAAAAAAAAAGTTACTGTAGGAGTATAATGGAGTCCTTAAAAGTAAACAGCAGCTTACAACTACAGTGAAATATGGCTCAGACATGATTGTACTTCTGAGATGAGCAGCAATCCACTTTACCCAGGCCATTTTAAAAAGAGCCCATTGCATGAATGCATGCACAGACTCCTCTCCCTGTAGAAGCTGGGTTTGAAAAGCAGGCAAGGGGACACACGAGGTGAAAAGTGAAATAAAAAAGCCATCACCATTGAACAGAGAGGCATGCCTATCAGCCACAGGAAGATTCACCCCCATTTCCCTTAGACTGGGCTTACCGTTGCAAGGGACACGAGGACTCTGCGAAACATGGAAGATGTGTCAGAAACAATGTCGTCCTCGAGGGAAGAGCCATATTCTAGAAGGAGCACACACACGGATGGCATCTGTTAGTAACAGGTCCACCTGGATACTGTCCATAGCATTTGCCAGTCATCAGCTAGGTAAGTACAGAACTGTGCTCAGGGCTCATCATTACAGTTCTCCAGCCATCATAGTTAGTGTTACAGCCCCAAATTAAGAAGAACAGACAGTATACAACTGGCAATAGATCCATACATCCATAACACCCCCACCCCATTTTATCTACAATTTTCAGTGAAGTTCTAGTCTCTGAGGCTGTTAGCTGTCTTACTGTTGACATCAGTTTCATCCAGAGGTTCTCTCTGGACAAACAGTAATAGCTGGTCTGGCCAATTTGTCACACTTAAAGGCTTGTGGACCCCTCTCCTTCCTCTCTGTGTGTGCATGCTTGCACACGAGATTGACTTTTAGGCAGTATGACAAAGGCCAGCAGTTTGCACTACTTACGAAGCCTGTAGGTCTCATTAATGCGCCGAATCTCCTCATTTGTGCGAGAAGCCAGAATTTCAATCAGGCAACCTTCATCTGTTCCGGCACCCTAGGGAATTGCCAAGACAAGATCCAAGATGATACCAAAAACTGCTTCTGATGTGCAACCAGGATTCTTCATATAATAGTTAATAATCAATAAGAAATTAATTCATATCATACTAACTTGACCAGAACTTAAGCAATACAAAAGGAAGACTTCCACACCTTCAAAGCTCTCTTCAATTCGTGCACGTCGTACATGGTGGTAGGAGTCATCATCCCAATGATCACCCTTTCAAAATTCCCACTCAGCTCAGACTTCAAGTCATCAATCAAATCCTAGAGGGCCAAAAAAAGGAGAAGAGAGTTGGAAGAAGGTACAGCCTTAGAGAACAGAAGGAACTAACACTTTCAACACTTTTCTTCAGGCTCCAATCCTCCTTACACAAATAGTTGCTCTGAAGTGAACACAAACAAAATAAACTTGGCCAGGGGATGGCTCCGCTAATCGTACTGTTATGGAGACTGGATTGTTTTTCACTTTTCACCCAAAGGACATAACCTAAAAGTTGTCCCCATCTCCCAGTTAAAAGCACAGTCACTAATCTCTGCAGACTACCTACCCTGCCGATCGTGCTTTTATAGGTGATCAGAACTTGCTGACGTTGTGAAACGTTTAGTTTGGTCAAGATGTCAATGATGGCATCTTCATCCGTGCCTGAAAGAAACAAAGGAAAGCTAGTCTGGCTGCTTGCACAAGCACCAGAAGTGTCCCCTGGCCTTGTGCCATCTTCTGTCCCTTACACAGCCTGCTTCTCTAGGACTGGGACTAGATCTGTGTACAGAAGTGCCTCAATCCAGCCAGCAGCATGGCAGAACCGTACTGCAGGAGAGATGAGACTGGAGACAGACTAAGGATGTTCTTGTGTCCAGACTTGGATTTCAAGTTGGGCTCAAATCTCAGCATGACCAAGTCATTTGATTCCTCTCAGTGCTCTCGTATCACATCAGAAAACTCCGGGTAGCACCTCAGGACAGGTACAGGGTCCCTAGTCTGTGGGATTACCATCATAAAATGCCTATGAGCACCTTGGAGACAACGCTGAGAGAGACCACACACAGATTCACAAATAAACAGACAGGCTACCAGCAATGAAACATTAAAAAAGCCACCCTTCAGCACACTGTGGTCATCAGTGCTGTCCCCACTCTGACATTACCTTCCATCCCTTTGCACTCCTGACTTTGTTTCCAGACACAATCCCCACTGACCAGACTGACTCCATGTATTTAAGAGCACAGAGGGTGCCAGGATCCATACCACCAGAGGAGGCTGCATTTCAGGGACAGGATGCCTCTTTTCATTTTCAAAGAGTTTTGGGGTGGGTGGTGCAGTGAGGCAATGCGAATGGCTAGACTTCCCCTCTAACAAACCACCAGACCAAACATTCTCAGTGCTGAGGAAAAAAAGGTTTAACCATGGAGGGAGATCAACTTACCAAATCCCTTCATAGCCTTCCTTAGTGCCTGTGCTTCCTGCTCAGCACTGAAGCTTGAGACCCCCTTGATTGTTGCCTAAAACCACAGGAAAGGAGTTATCAAAGGCAGACTTACAGTGATGCAAGCATACAGTAGAGTTGAATTGAAAAAAAAAAAAGACACAAAAGATGCAAATATAGCAATAGCAAGTAAACTCCATCCCACAAGTGATTTTATATCAGGCTTCCATCCCACCCAAAAGAATGACAAGTCTAGAGGGACTTCCCAGGCACATAAGAAATAAACCACAAGACAAAACTACAGAGAAGATATCTCCGTATTGCTGCCTGTGTCGTATCTGGTTTGTAATTAAACAAAGGCTGGACACCTGGTATCTCTGTTCATTACCAGCATTTTCCTATGCAAATAGTAAAGAAATCTGTTCCCATCAAAGGGAACGGAGCCGGGCTCCTTCCAGTGATGCCCAGTGCCAGGCCCAGTGGTGCTGGGCACAAACTGGAGCCCTGAGGCTCCCCCTGAGCAGCACAAAGCCCAACCATGCTGGGTGGGTGCCAGAGCCCTGGCACAGGTCCCCAGAGAGGTGCCAGAGCCTCCTCCTCGGGGTCTTTGCACCCTGCTGGACATGGTGCAGGGCTCTGGGTGGCCCTGCTGGAGCTGGGTGGGACCAAAGGGGCCCAGAGGTGTCTCCAGCCTCCACTGTTCTGTGATTTTGTAATGCCCAGGACGTGCCGTGTTTTGCTCAAAATGGTGATTCACAAACAGGTTCCTCCTGCCTCCTGTCCGGTGACATCTCTGCGGGGTGACCCTGTCTCCTACAAGTGTCAGTTTCCACAAAGAGACAACAGCAAGGTGCTGAACATTCACGTAGGCCAGGCTTTTGAGAGCAAGGCATGGAAATAACTATTGTACAGATGGGAACCCTGCGGGTTGAACCAGGAAACAAAAGTATGCCTAGAGAGTTTACTCAAATACTTGCCCTGTGAATTAATATCTGATTGGGTTTTCCATTAACTTTCAAAGAGGAAAAGCCCATGCATGTGGATCATTGACCTCTAGTATGAGGAAACAGGGAAGTGATAAACTCACCCCCCATAAAAAGACAGTGTTATTCCTGCTCTATCTACACACCCCACATTTATCTGATTAGAGCAAAAAACGCCCGGCACATCATGGTACAGAAAACAAGCACACTCACCATCGCTCTAGCTTTTGGTCAATCTGTTATTGTACAAGTCCCGCGGCAGCTCGACAACTGCAATAACAAAAAGAAGGAGTGTCAGTTTTCTAGCAAATAATTAATACCGCCCTCGACACCCATACCACCCTTGCCAGTTAATGACCCTGGTTAAGTAATCGGGACTATAAAATATGATTATAATCAAATCATTTCTCTGAGGTCTTCACTGAACGCCCACAGCCACAACAGCAGCCCCGGGGTGCCTGCTGGATTGTAATGCATGAACAAAGGCTGGTGTGCAGCAGGATGGGGATGGGGCATTGCTCCACAGAGGCTCTGCCTGTGAGAGGGATGTCATGCACCACTCTGAAAGAAGTTTCTATCGGTAGTGTGATAGCCTGGCTGAGGTTACAAGGAGAAGCAGCGATGCTGCCCTGAGAGCAAACTGACTCGACTCCCATCCCTGTCAAAACTCAGGGCTGCGACCTCACCAGGGGAGGTTGTGGAGGTGGGTGTGGGTACGGATGCGTGCAGCCCTACCAGCACGCACAGATATTCCTGGAAGGCAGAGACAGCCCTGAGGTGCAGATGAGGATGCCACGGATAAGCTCACTCGGGGACAGAAGTATTTTCCCTCTTCCTTAGAACCTGCTGCATTCAACTCCTCACTTTGCTGCAACCTGTAATTCCTTGTGGCACCGCAGTTTTAATTATTAAACCTCACACAAAAAAAAAAAGTTAATTTGCCACCTCCCCAGACTTTATTTCTTCTGTTCATACTTTTGTTTTCGTGCACAGGGCCTGTTCCTGCACACAAACACACCCAAGGTTTTTCCTGTACCCCTCTCCTACACCCCATACCCACAGGCTGGGTGTCCAGCATGAGGACCGGGTCCATCTCCCTGCACCTCGAGTTCAGCATGGCCTGAGCTGTGCTCCTTACACTGAAGCCCTGCAGCAGCAACGATGCCATGGCTGTCAGATCCCTTCCTGGTCCTGCCCACGGTGCTCCAGAGCTGCTGTCAGTGAGCACAGATCCTTGTGCAACAGCAGCCGAGCCTGTGCTCACACTGCACATGACTCTTACAAATCTGGAACACCATCGGGGTGTTGCTGTCCAGGCAAGTTAGCTCAGCACGACATTGGCCACTGACGTGTTACACGTAGGCACTCTTCCGTGCTCTCCTGTTTTTCTGTACGTTATTACAACACCTACAGTCAGGCAGCGCACGGAAAATCGAGCTCGTTTTCCCTTTCGTGTGATTGTAGATATTAGCAGACAAAGTGTGACCTAGACCGCAGGAAAATCTCTTACAGAAATAAAAAATAAATAAATAAAAATAGAAAGCTGCCTTTATATTTGCTTTATCCAGAACCTAAATAATGGCTTAGAATTTCACGGAAGCTTTTCCAACAGTTTTACCATTCAGTTGCTTTGTACACAGAAGCAGAACAAGCTGGTTTAACAAGTAGATTTGATGGCAAAAGAAATGTCAATAAACAAGGAAAAGAGGAAGAGATATAAAATGAGAAATACGATGGCAGAAAGAAAACCAAACCAAAGGAAATGACACATGTGTTGGATTCAATAGGAAACTACAGCAGCAATAAAACAGAAATGTCACACGGAATAGTGACTGTGTTAAAGATTCCGATTCCTTCATTCAGATTAAACATCCCTGTGAATAAAAAGAGCAGAGCGCTGCAAAAGGCAGTGGTTCTAACCCTGCTGTGCAAGCTGGAAACGCTTTTATGTTCCAGCGTGTTTGTGTGTGTGGTGCCATAAGGAAAAAGGCACTGAGGTTACAGGGGGAAGAGCTCAGCAGTTCTTTGGCAATCGTCCCTGCCCCTGAACACCTTCTGCAGGCAGTGGTGTCCCCATCAGCAGCTCAGGCTGGGGCACTGGACAGATGAAGCCCCCCTGTGCGCTCCCTTTGCTAGAGCAGGGAAGGAAAAAGCACTGCTCGCTCAGATTTGCCACTGCTCCGCTGCTTACCACAACTCCTGGCCCACAGCTCAGATGGCAAAAACCAGCTTCAGGGCTGGAGTCGGAGCAGCACGGAATTCCTCAGCCTGCACCGCCGCCCTTGAAAAGCAGAACCCAACACCAACACCGTTTCTCAGAGACCAGCCGAAATTTCGGCGTCTTCTGGCCGACCCAAACCCAGACTTGCTCCCTGACCAGTGCCCTGAGCGCCCTCAGCTCCGCAGGTCGTGACCCCAAGCCTTTGACCGCAGCCTGGAGCCCAGGACCCGAGGAGGAAAACCCCGGGGGTGCCCCCACGGCTCGTCCCTTCGCTGCGGGACACCTCCGGCTTCTCCCGGTGCCGGCCCAGCCCGCTCCCCCCTTACAGCCGGCCGCCCCTCAGGGATGCCAGGGGACCCCCAGCGAGTGGCAGCGCCCTAAATCCCCCCCCCCACCCACCCACCCTCCCCGGCCCGGGGCTGCCCCAGGCCCTCGGAGCCGACCCCCGGTACTCACCGGCAGTCCCGGCAGAGGCTGGGCGGCGGCGGCGGAGCTCGGCTCGGGGCAGGGCTGGGCACGGCCCCCGCCCCGCCGCGGGGTGGGACTGCGGGAACCGCACTGAGCCCGGCCCCCAGAGCCCTGCGTGGGGCCTGAGGGGGGGGCAGCGCCAGGGGCCCCCTCCCATTTTGTCCAGCACCCCCAGCAAAGCGCTTTTATTTATTTATTTGTTTGTTTGTTTGTTTATTTGCACGATGCGACCCTGGGCCAGGCCGGGGGGGTGGCGGGGGGGGCTGTAGGGGGGTGTGGGGCAGTGCGGGGGGGGCTGTGCGGAGCTGGAGGGCGGCTCTGGGGGGCTGTGGGGGGGGGCTGTGGGGGGGCTGTGAGGGGGCTGTGGGGGGGCTGTGAGGGGGCTGTGAGGGGGCTGTGGGGGGGCTGTGGGGGGGCTGTGAGGGGGCTGTGGGGGGGCTGTGGGGGGGCTGTGCGGAACTGTGCGGCCTGCGGGCACCGGGGGGCGGTGGGTGCCTCGGTGCCGGGGCTGCTCTGGGGAGCTCCGGGCACCGGGGGGGGGGGGAGCAGCCGAGGCCCGACCACGGGGGTCGCGGGGGGGGGGGGGGGGTGAGGAGCGCTGGGCACCGCCCTGACGTCACGCGGCGGTGGCGGCACCAGGAGGCCGCCTCCCCACAGCGCCCCCTGGCGGAAGGCACCGCAGCGGTCCGCCGGCCGTGACGTCATCGGGGCTGTAGTGACGTCATTGGTTATTAATAACGAATTAATATTAATTGGCTATTAATACGCATTCGTCATTACCGTGGGCTGTTTCCACTTTATTGCCGTTTTTCTTCTCTGCTGCCAAATCCGTGCTGGGATGGGAAGGCTTCCTTGGGGTGGAAAGGCATTGGGCAATGAAAGAGATGGGAAATGTGCCCGGGGTTTGAAAGCATTGGGAAGCAAAAGCCTTGGGATGGGCAGGCACTCCTGGGATGGGAAAGTACTGGGATGGGAAGTCTTGAATGGGGTGGGTACCATTCCCTGGGGAAGGAAATACTTGGAAAAGTCCTCCAAGAGAGGGGAATTCTTTGGGACGAGATCTCTTTGGATGAAGGGAAAAATCTGCTTGTGTTGATGGGAAATCTTTTGTATGGGAATCTGTTATCTTGTGAGCTTGTCAGGATGGGAAATGACCATGAGGATGAAAGCTGGTCCTGGGCTGGGAAATGCTCAGGACGGGCAAGAGGCGGTGTGGAAGCGTGGTGGGCATGGCAAGTGCTGCGTGGGAGGGCAAGCCTGCTGGGGATGGCCAAGTCTTGCGCTGGGCAGCCTGCTTGGCTCCAAAGCCTGCAGTCCTCCCCAAGATGTCGGCGAGGGGCTGGTCAGCCGTTGGGACGGAACGGCCGTTGCGCGGGTTCCCCAAGCAACCGCCCCACTCTCCAGCCACCATGGCAGGTCCAGCAGCCGGCTCCCGCTCCTCCCGGGGCTGCGGCCCTGCTGGCGAGCCCAGCGCCCCAGAGCTCAGCCCAGCGTCCTTTTTCCCACAGAGGGTTTCCCCAGACGGCTTCTGCGGCTTGCGCAGACGCAAAACTCCCCCTTCGTCGTCCCAGCCGTGCCGCCAACGGTGGCTGCCTGGCTGCTGCCCTCCCTCCCCGGAGCGACGGCGCTGCCCTTGCAGCCCCTGCAGGTACCCACCCTCCCCTCCGCGCTGCCCCAGGCCACCGTCTGGCACGTGGTGCCGGGGGTCCAGGGGCAGGTGCTGCAGCTCCCCGCCGGGGTGCAGCTGCCACCTGGGGGGCACCTCCCAGCCCAGGGGCACCACCTGCAGCTTGGGCAGCTCCCCGCCGTGGGGCAGCTCCCTGCTGTGGGGCAGCTCCCCGCTGTGGGGCAAAACCTGCAGCTGGTGCAGCTCCCAACCATGGGGCACCAGCTGCAGCTGGTGCAGCTCCCCGCCGTGGGGCAGCTCCCCCACACCGCTCCTCCCTGTGCCCCCGTCCATCAGTGGGGACAGCCCATGGTGACGGGGACACTGGTGCCCCACCATGCGCTGGGGCTGGGGCCCAGGGCCGTGCTCCATGGGGAGCTCCTGCACCCCGCAGGCACCTGCCTGTTGCAGGCCCCCGCCCAGCGCAACCCCCCGCCACCCCTCGTCCCGGGGCCTCCGCTGCGGGGGCAGGCGCTCCCCACGCCCCGCACCCTGAGCAGCAGCCGGGGGCAGCTGCCGGAGCCCTGCTTGCACGCCGTGGGGCTCAGCGAGGACCAGGGGCCCCCGCTGCCCGGCCCCACTCCCCCCGAGCCTGCCCAGGCTCCAAGGACCGCCAGCACCCAGACGGCGACGCCCGACGGTGAGTTTGGGGCTGGCACAGCCGGCCGCTTGTGGCCCCACACCCAGGGGCCACGGGAAAGCTGACATCGGCCGTCTTGGGGGATTTTCTTGCTTCGTCCTCAGCGGCGACAGCCCCGCAGGTGCCTGAGGAGCCCCCGCAGCTGCCCGAGCTGGGCCCCGATGCCTTGGCCGAGGCCTTTCCAGAGCTGGCAGGGGACAGCCAGCAGCTGCAGCACGTGCAGGACGAGCTCCTGGCCCACCTGGACATCCCCATCCCCGACATGGAGGAGCTGCTCAGCTGGCTCGATGCCGTGGAGCCCCAGGACGCCTTCCCCGATTTGCCCAGCAGTCCTGCCCTCAGCCGCTTCCTCTCCCAGCTGCCCGACCTCTGCGAGGACATCGAGGAGCCGAGCACGCAGGGACTGGAAGCCACAGGAGCCCTCGGTGAGGTCCCCTCAAGCCCTGGGGTGCGCCCCGAGAAGCTTGAGGGTGGGCTGTCGCTGCAGTCCCCCGTCGTGCCAGCAGTGAGCCCCCCCCTCAGCCCTGCAGCCAGTCCCCTGCCCAGTGCGCTTAGGAGCCCCCTACCCAGTCCACCCCTGAGTCCCCCCAGGAGCCTCCCTGACACCCAGGTCCTCAGTGCCCTTAGTAGAGCCCTGCCCCAACCCCCCCAGCGTTCCCTCAAGACCCGCCCCAACCCCAAGGTCCCCAGTGCCCTTAGGAGAGCACAGCCCAAATCCCCCCCGAGTTCCCCCAAGAAACGCCCCAACCCCAAGGGCCGCAGTGACCATAGGAGACCCCTGCCCAAACGCCCCCTGGGTCCCCTCAAGAGCCCCCTGGCTGCCCCTGCGTCCACCGGCACCGAGCGGGGGGCCAAGCGCCCCGCGCCCAGCAGCACCCCCGGGACAGCGCAGAGCTGCCAGCACAGGAGGCCGACGACAGAGAACCCCCCCCGCAAGGAGAGGAAGATGCTGCTGGGCCAGGCTGGCCAAGGCCGCAAGAGACCGTGCCAGGGGAAGACGCGTGGCAGCAGCACGGTGGCTGGCAGCAGCAGGGAAGCAGGCAGCAGCGGGCAGCAGCCGGCGATCAACAGCACCACGGCACCGGTGAAGAGAGCGCGAAGCCCGGGGGCTGCAGGGGGGCAAGGAGCAGCGGCACCAGCTCCCCGCAGAGCGCGGCTGCTGCCAGAGACTCCGAGTGGGGAGCCCCGTGCCGTGCGGCCCCAGGACAGGCTCTGTCCCCAGGCCAGCGGGGCCAAGACGCTGGAGGAGTCGGTGCCCATCACGCCGCAGCAGCGTCCCGAGCGGGAGCGCCTGAAGAAGCTGGCCCAGGAGGAGCGGCAGCGGGCGGCCCACCAGATGAAGATCGGCCCCGTGCAATTCTTCGTGCAGCGGCAGAAGGACCACGCCAGAGCCTACTCTTACGGCTACCCGTGACCGACCTCGGGCTTCTCCTCGACGGCCCCCGCAGCACCCAGGCAGGCACAGAGACCTCTGCAGGCACCTGCTCCAGCTTCAGCCACGCTCCTCAGCCCTTGCCCCTCTCGCTTGCCCTCTCCCCTCTCTCGTGCTGGAGCTAGGGGATGAGCTTGCCACTCTCAGGGATGGGCAACGGGGGCAATGGAAAATGCGTGGCTCACCGAGGAAGGTGGCAATGGGAAGCTGGGGAGATGCTGGCAGCGGCTGGGCTGGGAAAGCTTGCCCATGGCAACTGCTGCTTGGGACACCAAAGGGCTGAGAGACAAGACTTGGTTCTTCTTTCAGGGCATTGCTCTTCTTTCCTGCCTTCTGGATTAAATTCCTCTCCTTACGTGGTCACTCAGCAAGGCCTCTGCCTGCAGCTCTTCTTGCACTGGGATGCCAAGGGGATTTCATGCAGCCCGCTCCCGCTGCCCATGCTCAGGCCGTGCATGGATGTGGGCATGGCCAGCACGGACGGCAGAAGATGGATGGATGGATGGATGGATGGATGGATGGATGGATGGATGGATGGATGGATGGATGGATGGAAGAATGGGAGTTGGGAATTGAGCCTTGGGAGCAGCAATGGGAGGTGGCTGGGATAGGAAATGATCAGTGGGATGGAAAGTGATGATGGGGATAGGAATTCATTGTTATGGGAAAAATGGGTTTGATTTTTATTAAATTTAAATTTGTTAATTTTCATTTAATTTGTTGGTTTTATTATTTATTTCATTAAATCCACTTTATTGACTGTGTTGTACAGTATGGCATTGTTTTCTTATTATAAAATTATAAGTATTCGTATTTAATAGTATTAAATATTTTTATATATTGATATATTATAAATTATACATATCATTATTTATCATTTTGTTTGTTTCTCTTCCTTTTCTACCCTATTAAACTCTCCTTATCACAACACACTGGTTTGGACTTTATTTTTCCTTCCGAGTCGTTGCGCATTCACTCAGGATGGGGGGACATTAGCGAATGCCTGTGTGCTTCAGATCCAAGGTCACCTTTGCCCTCAGCTCAAGATCCATCTTTGCATCTGTTGTTGTGAAACAATGTTAACAACCAGAAAAAAAAAAAAAAAAAAAAGTTTATGTACTTCCTAGCAGCAGCTGTAGGTTTGCCGGGGTCTGCTCTCTGCATTTGGAAGACCTTTCCATGCTCTTCCGCCCCTTCAGGAGGAAATGTCTGGTTCTAGGAAAATGCGTCTTGACCTGATGCAAAGCTGTGACGCAGCCTGCAGCCCCTGCAAGCCCTGGGATTGTCCCTGCAGCCCCTCCAACAACTCTGATGTTCCCTGCATCGACTTCAACCACTGCGGTGGGACCTGAGGCCCCTCAAAGCCCTGTCACTCGCCCTGCAGCCCCTTGAGCCCCTGGCATGTTCCCTGCAGCCCCTCCAAGCCTGGCACAGGCCCTAAGAGCTGGCTCCGGGGACTACAGTGTCCCACGGGATGATCCCAAATATGTCCCACCAGATCCCAAATACGCTCCCTGTTCTAGACAATCTAGAACAATCGAGACAGGTTCCAAACACGGGGTTGGGAAATGGGGGGTGACGAAGGGAGGCAGCTTGCACAGCCCCAGGAGGTGGCAGCACAACCCCAGGAGCCACCATCCCCTTCCTGGGGTTGTTCTCGGCCCAGAGAGGAGCCAACGTGAGGCCCCAGCAAATATTTGCCTTTTTTTCCCCTAAAAAAAAATAGAGGGGAAAGGGGGATGCCCCCCCCTTGCTGCTGCACCCTATGGGGACACCACAAAGATGTCTGCAGGGGGGGGGGTCCCGATGCCCCAAATTCCTCCCGTTCCCAGCAAATACATGAGGTCATCAAAGAAATTAAGGTGTAGATGAGTGTGTCCAGCCTGGGATTGGGGCCTTTACTGTAAAAAAATGTGGGATTGGGGTCGTTGCTGTAAATAATTGAAGCATTGGAGGCTTTAATATCATATTTGGGACCAGAGGCTTTGCTGTCAAAATTTGGGGATTGGAGACTTTGCTTTAAAAAAAAAAAAAAAATATGTGGGGTTAGAGCCTTTGCTATCAAAATTCGGGGATTGGGGTCCTTCATGTGAAAAAAAAAAAAATAAAAATAAAAATAAAAGTGGGATTGGAGACTTTACTAGCAAAATTGTGGGATTGGGGACTTTGCTTTAAAAAAGTGTGGGATTGGAGATTTTGCGGTAAAAAAAATATGTGGGGTTGCAGCCTTTACTATCAAAATTGGGGGGGTTGAGACTTTGCTTTTAAAAATTGTGGGATTGGAGATTTTGCTGTCAAAATTGTGGGATTGGAGACTAAAACAATGTGGGATTGGAGACTAAAAAATTGTGGGATTGGAGCCTTTGCATTAAAAAATTGTGGGGTTGGAGCCCTTGCTGTGAAAAATGTGGATTTTTTTTTTTTTTTTTTTTTTGTCTTTTGAAAGGTCCTGCTCAATAGTTTGGGGGCATCACAGCGGAGACACCTCCCTAAATCCCAGCCTCGTTGGGACTTGGGGCGCCCGAGGGACGGTGACACCCGAGGGACGGTGACACCCCGGGCACGGTGACGCCGCCAGCGTCCCGTAATCTCCCCGTCACGCCCCAGCCCGCCGGCCGCCTGCTGCCCCGCGATAAGGCCAGGGATTTCCGAGACACCGTGTGCTTCGTTAGGGCTCTGCTAATTAACCCCCCCCCCCCCATTTTGGCCACCTGGACACCCAAAAAACAGGGAAAAAAAAACACTTTTTGGGTACGGGAGGGGGCAGGAGGTTTCGGGACAAACTGGTTGACCGCAGCCGCCCCTAAAACACCCAAACTTTTTTTTGTTGTTGTTGTTATTTTTGTAATTTATTTTTTTTTGGGGGGGTGACGCCCCCGGCCCCCCCCTGGCCGGGTTTATCTGGTTCTGGGCTGAGTCACCCCAGGGCAGGGCCGGGTTTTGGGGTGTGCCCCCCCCCCACCTCGGTGGGGCCTTGTCTTAAAGGAGGGTCCCCTTTTTTGGGGTCAGGGGGCCCTTTTTGGGGGGTTGGGGGTCTCTTTTTTTTTGGGGAGGGTGTCTTTTTTAGGGTACCCCCAGCATTTTGGGGGTTGTTTGGGGTGTGGGGGTGCTTCCCATCCTCTTTGGGGGCACCTGGGGGGGGATTTTGGGGGGTGTCCCTGCTAATGAGGGGGGATTTGGGGGTTCCCCTGCCTGGGGATTTTTTTGGGGAGGGGGTTTCTGGGGGGGGTCCTTTGCTGAGGGAGGGGTTCTGGCCCTGAGGTTTGCATTTTGGGGAGGGTCCCAGCTTTTTGGGGGAGGGGATTTTGGGGGTCCCTCTCCCTTGGGGGGGGTCCTGAGGGGGGTTCCTGCCTTTGGGGAGGGGGCTCTGGCTTTTTGGGGGGGGGGTCTCAGCTTTTGGGGGGGGATTTGGGGGGGCCCCTGCTGCCTGGGGGGGGTCCCAGCTTCTGGAGGGGGGGTTTTGGGGGCCCTGCTTTTTGGGGGGGGAGTCCTGGGGGGGTTCCCTGCGTGGGGGAGGGATTTTTTTTGGGGGGGAGTCCTTGAGGGGGGGGCCCTGGCCCGGGGGGGGGGGCTGGGGGCGTCCCCGCTCCTCAGGGGGGCCCCTCCCCTCCCCGTTCCCGCCTGGCCCCGCCCCTCCCTCTCCCCTCTCCTCCCATTGGCCCCCCGAAGCCGGAAGCGCCCCACCCCCTCCCCCCAACCCACCAATAGCCCTCCTCATCCCCTCACGCTTTGCCCCACCCCCTCGCCCCTTCTCCCACCCAATCGCGCTCCGCCTCCCCCTCCACCACCCAATCAGCGCCCGAACCCCCGCGCGGGGTGGAGAGGCGGCGTCCAATAGCGAAGCTCGGGGGGCGGGGCTTACGCTGAGGCGGGGCCGGGCCCCGAGCCCCGCTCACCCCCGGTCCCGGGCCCGGGCCCCGGAGCGCGGCGATGGCGGCGGCGGCGGCGGCAGCGGCGGCGGCCGGGGAGGGCGGCGGAGACCCTGCGGGCCGCATCCAGCTGCTGCTGGCGGCCGCCGAGTTCCTGGAGCGAAAGGAGCTGGGCAGCGGAGCCTCCCCGGTGGCTTCCCGGGGGGTTCCGGTGGCACCGGCGGCTCCTTACCGGGCCGGCCCCGCTGAGGCCGAGCACGGCTACGCCTCGGTGCTGCCCGGCGGAGAGCGGAGAGGGGCCAGGAGGAGGGCGAAGGGCAGGAGGAGCGGAGGGGGAAGCAGGTAACGGGGTGGGGGGGGGGTGGTCGTTACCGGGGGGGTACCGGGACCTGGGGGAGGAGGGGGGACCGGGAGGGGTCGGGGGGACCGGGGGGGGTGGTGGTGGCTTCGTGTTATGGGGTAGGGGGTGAGGGGGTGGGTACCGGGGGGTACCGGGGTTGGGGACAGGTCACGGGGACGTTGGGGACCCCGGGGGGATTTGGGGACCCCGCTGTCACCGGGGTTAGGGGCTGTCGGTGTGCCCTGTCATGGGGTAACGGGGGAGGTTGGGGACTTAGGGGATGTTTGGGGACCCTTGGGGACAGCGGTGGCAGTGGGGAGGGGATTTGGGGACCTCAGGGGGACTTTGGGGACCTCAGGGGGATTTGGGGACCCCGCTGTCACCGGGGGACAGGGGGCTGTCGGTGTTCCCTGCTGTGGGGTGATGGGCCCCTTGGGGACCCCGCTGTCACAGTTGGTGTCCCTGTTATAAGGCAGGGCTGGGGGGGACACTTGGGGACACCCCTGTCACAGGGCATGGGGCCAGGCTACTCAGGAACCCCCCAGGACACACACAGAACCCCCCCAAGCTGCCCTAAGCATCCTCCACCCCTAGGGGCTCACCTCAGTGACCCTAAAACCCCACCTAGGGACCCTAAGCCACCTCCAGGAGACCCTAAACCCCCCCTTGAGGACCCTAAAACTCCTCCAGGAGACCCCAAAACCTGCTTGAGGACCCTAAAACCCACTCTGAGGGAACCATACCCCCCCCCAGGTGTCCTAAACCCCTCTGAGGACCCCAAAACCCCGCCGGGTTCGGTGCTGGGGGAGTGCCGGGGGGGAGTCCCACACGTCACAGGCTTGGGGCCGTGACGGGAACCTCCCTTCTGGGGCGAACCCGGCCCTAAAGGCGCGGCCGTGACGTGGCAGCCGGGTCCGACACCGGGGCCGCCGGAGCATTTCGGGCTGGAGGGCGGTGTCGAAAGCGAAACTCATCCCGGTTCCCTTTAGGGGATGAATCCTGCCGGGGTTTGGGGTCGGGCGCTGCTGTGGTGCTTGGTGCTGAGATAAATCCCGTTCAGGTTTTGGGGTCTGTCCCAAAAGCCCTCTGGATCCTGGGCACCAGCTCAAGCCTTGTTTTTGGGATGGCCCCATAGGTGCTCGTCCCCCACCCCCCTCCCTATCCCCAAAAGGAGGGGATCCCTGTGCCCCCCAGGGATGGCAGGTGGCAGCCCCAAAAGGAGGAAACCCTCTTGTCCTCCAAGGGTGGAAGGCAGGTGTCGACCCCAAAAAGAGGAAACCCTCGTGTCCCTTGGGGCTGGCAGGTGGGGACTGGCCCCAAAAGGAGGGGACCTTCACATCCTCCAAGGGTTGCAGGTGGGTGTTGGCCCTAAAAAGAGGGGACCCTGTGCTCCTGTTTTTTTTTATGATCAGTCCTGGTTGGAGCCCCCCATCACAGGAGCCTTCCCCCAAAACATTTCCCACCCTAGCCCAGAGGGAGCGACCCCAAATGATTTGGGGATGCAGAAGAACAAATCCGAATCATTTTCTCCTCCTCACCTTGGCACCGGCCCCGTCTCCGGGACCCCATTACCAGCGATGACACTGCACTGGGGACCAGGGCCACCTCTGGGGACTTCGACCCCACAACAGGTCTGGCTGGGGCCGTGCCCAGAGCTGTTTGCCCAGGGTGGAGCGGTGCTGAGCTGGCACCAGCCCCTGCCCCGTCCCCAGCGGGTTTGTCCGCGTGACACCGGCTGCGGGCACCACCTTTTTCCACGTTTTTTCCCCCATTTTCCATCATCTGTTTGTTTTTTTATTTTTTTTCCCCATTTTTGGGTGTCCCAGGGGTTTTGTTCCCTCCTCCGATGCGGTTTTTGGGGGGTGCGCAGTGCCCGAGTTCCCCTTCGGGGAGTTTTGGGGCTGATTCCTTGTTTTGAGGTGGTTTTGGTGAATCAGAAGGAGCAGGACGTGTCCGCACGGAGTCATCGGGGAAGCCAGGATCTGGCCGTGCCCATCCTCGCCCTGCTGCCCAGGGGAGGGCTTCGAAAATCCCTTTCTGGGGAGTTTAGGGTGCAGGAGGGGGGTTCTCAGCCCCCCAAAGTGGGGTGCAGGAGCTGAAATCCCCCAACTCCCCGACCTTCACCTGTATGTTATGATGTGTGCTTGCAAAAAATCAACACCCTAAAAGGATCAGACCCAGAACAGCCCCAAAATGAAGCCACCAAAAAGAAAAATAATTAATTAATCAAAGGGGAACTTGAACAGGGATGGCCATGGGAGATGGAGAGCATCCACATCCCTGGAGCGTGCAGGGTTTGCACACCTGTAGGTGCCTTTTTTGGTGTTTTAGGCACAAATTCATGTCTTTTTTGAGAAAAATGCGAGCGGAGCCGGAGGCCCTGGCTACGTTCCCGTGGGCTTGGTTTCGGGGCCGTGTTGGGATGGAGCAACTTTTCCCCTTCCTGCCCGCAGATACGCACGTCGGCGCTGGGCCTGCGGTCGCTCTCTCGATGCTTCCTCTTCTCCAAAATGCCTCCGCCACGAGGCTGGAGAGTTTTTTTGGGGTGTGTGCTGTGTGCCCTGAGCCCTGCCACCAAGACAACCCCGTGTTCCTGGTCTTCGTAGCCAGAAAATCTCTAAAAACAATCCTTGCCCCATTAAAATCCCATTTTAGGGTTTTCCTCACCCATTTATTGCCATTCATTGGGCTGATTCTCTGTCATACTGTGCCACCAAGTGTCCTGTGCCTGGTTCCCACCCGTTTTGATGTCCCCAGGGTCTCCCCTGTCCCCGTTCCCCCTGTGGGGTTTGTTCTCACACCGCACCCCCCTACAGGACCTAACGCTGTGTCCGTTCTCTTCCAGGTCGACACACAACGAGATGGAGAAGAACAGGTGAGTGCTGGCAGCTCGCCCGGACCCAAATTTGAACAAATCCCTTCTCTTTAACCCCTGTTGGGGACATTCGGGTCCTGTCCCTGAGGGAGAAGCGAGCGAGTGCCTGTGGGCAGCGGGATTTGGGCATCAGGGCCAGGGAGGGACGGGACGGGATGGGGTGCATGGGTGGCTCCCGGCGTCACCCGGACGGGGTGCTCAGGCCCCAAGCATTTCCTGTCCCTGGGCGTGCAGTGAGCAGACAGGGATGGTGCTCGACTCTAATAACGTTGACCCCAAAAGGCTGCAGTTTTGGGGTAGGGAGAGTGTGCAGGCACCTCCCAAAATGCTCCGCAGGCGCTCTCCAAATACCGCTCCCATCCTTGGGGTGCAGCGGCTGAGCTGGAAGCCTCCTTCCCAGGAAGGTCCCGTGCGTGTTAATTGCTCTGTGGCTTCGTAATGCGCCGTTATGGGGTTTAATTTAAACCCTGATTAATTTAAAACCCGTTTAAATTAACCCCCTGCGCGGCTCTCCCTGCGAAGCTACCAGAGTTCAGCTGGGCTGGAAAATTCTGTGGAGGTGCAATGCTGGAGCTGTGAATGCAACCGTGGTTATTTGGGACAGGCTGGTGAGGTCTTTGTAGGGCTAAAGGGTGGCTTTGAGTCCTTTAAGGGCTTCTCTTTTCCTCTCTTTGGCTTGGATGAGGCTCAAATATTGTGGGGTTTTGTTGCCTGCTGCCAGCAAAGGGCTCGCGTGGACTCGGTTGGTTTGTACCTGGAGGCAGAGCTGCCCCTGCCCTGAGTGATGTGAGTTAGGGACGGACAGGGCCATTTATTCCTCCTTTCAAAAGCCTGAGAAAATCAGCATCTGATTACCCAAAAAAACCCCGCAGAGGACGTCAGGCCGCGTTGCACCCCTCTTGCAGCGGTGCCGTGTTGAAATCCCGGCGGCTGCGTTGCGCCACGAGCGCGGTGAGCACCGTCACCTCCCGTCCTTCCGCCCCTCTGCGCGGAAACGAGGTGCAGGGCGACGAGCCCCGTCCTCGTTAGGCGCTGCTGCAAATTGTCCTCGTTAGCTGCTGCTTCGAGCTGTCCTCCTGCAAACCCCGCCGGGCTCGAGCCGGGGAATCGTGGGCTCGACCTGCCGGCGCTCCCCGCTCGCTCCCCTTCGTGCCACATCTCTCTGTTGTGTTTTTTTTTAAGCACGGCAGCAGTTTGGGTTAGGCAAAAGCTGCAAAAAATGCTCTTTAACGCACGCTGCACCACCTGGAAGGGGAAACCGAGGCGTGTTGTAATCCTGCAAACCGCTCAGCATCGGCAAAGCCGAGCGGGTTGCGGCTGCACCTCCTCCACCCCATCCCTTCTGGGTGTTAGCACCGAAACACAGCTTCTGCTCAGCCCCAAAACTGATTTTTTTTCCATTTCTCGTTCTTACGGTGCTGGTTACGAGGTGCTGTGCCAAAGAGAGTTAGTCGAGGACCCCGATTTTGTTGCTGCAGCTCACGGGGAGCGCAGCGGGGCTGGCTCCTCACCCTGAGACCGTGCGGGTCGATGGCATCCCTGCACAGCTCCTCTTGGCTCTTTTCCCCCTGCGACTGCAAATAAGCTTTGGAGAGGCTCCTCTCCGAGCCTGTTGGTGTTTGGGATTCCCCCCAGCGGGCGTGTTTTGTTTGTGCTGGTATTCAGCAGGCACTTTGTGTAGGCAAATGCCTGTTTACTCCCCGACGTGCCCGGAACGAGATAGGCAGGTCGCTCGTTGCAAAATCCCTGTGGCCGCCTCTGTCAGCTTTGGGTATTTCAAAGACCGGTGTTGCAACCTAAACGTAACCTAAATATCGGGGCTGGGGCGCCCGACACGAGGCAAACCGGCCGTGCTGGGAGCACCTCGGCCGCCGAGGGACCTCCGTGGGCACCCAGAGCTTCACCCGTGGGTGCAGCAGCGGGGTGGGGGCCATAAAGCGTGAGCCCAGGTGTTAGGGCAGGTGAAATCCTACTCAAAACAGATATAGGGGATGCGCTGGGTTTGCAGCTCCCTGCTGCTGCCCTCCTCAACCTCTTGAGGCACAGCTGGAGCCTGTCAAGGACCGGAGGCACCCATGGGTGCAGGTTTTTGGGGGGAGACCCCAGGCTGGCAGCCAGTGGTGTGGGCAGGGAGCTCGTCCCCGTTAGCACTCTGTGGGTCAAACCCATTCTGTCCTGAAACCGTTCTCCTTTCCGCAACTCTTAGAAGCCTGACAGGCGTGTCAGCCTCGATTTCTCGTGGCCATGAGCCAAAACACGAGCCAAAAGTCCCAGCTGATCTTTGTCTTCATCTCCAGCTACCAGGGCCGGGGATTTTCTTAGAAGAGAGTGGAGCACTGAGCTCATCCGTGCAGGTCCTGAGCCTGGGAGCTCTTCTCACCAGCTGGTGGATGCCTGCAGAGCTGGCCATGGGGATTTTAGGGGATGGAGCAGGCAGCAGGCCATACATCTGCCTTAACGGGCTGCCCTAAACTGGCCAGAAACCGTGGAGACCAAGCTGATACCGCGGGTCAGAGAGAAATTCCTCTGTTGGTTTGAGAGATCAAATCTCGGAGCAGCGTGCTGGGAATAAATGGGTTTCTGAGCCCAGACGAGCAATTGCTCTCGTTTATCATCTTTCTTGGCTTGTAACCACCCCAACTATCTGCGTGCAGAGGTTAAAAGCTGCTCGGGGAGCACGCACCTGAGCGCTCATTGTGCTGTGTCCATGTCTTGCAGGCGAGCCCACCTGCGGTTGTGCTTGGAGAAGCTGAAGATGCTGGTGCCGCTTGGGCCTGAAACCAACAAGCACACGACGCTGAGTTTGCTGATGAGAGCGAAATTGCACATAAAGGTGAGTCCGGGTTGGGTCGGGACCACGCAGGGGAACCTCTGGGCAACACGCCAAAATTGTGCCCCAAAACCAAGTTGTGCCCTAAAACCTGTGGGGTGCGAGGGCTGCCGACGTGCTGCCGGATGGCACCAACCTAACCCCAAAGGGCAGAGGGCTCAGGAAAAAGCTTTTCCACCCGAAATTCTCCAAGCTTTTATTCTGGTGTCATTGGGAGGGGAAGCTTTGTTCCCATTAGACAAATGCTGAGCTCAGTTTCAAGACCTGCACCGCCATACAGTAGAGTGGGATTTGGGGGCATCCAGAGCCTCAAACCTGCCTGGGGTTGATGCCAGAGGTCAGGGTTGTTTTCCCTGCAGTTACTGCAGCAAGTCTGTGTAAAAACCCTACAAACAGGCATGTGGACAGCTGCCACTCTGCCCTAAAGCCCAATTTCCACGTGTTTGATACTGCAGAGCTGCCCAGAGGCCTTAGGAATGAGACAGGTTCAAAGTACTGCCTTCTAGAGGTGGGAGGATGTTAGCAGGACCTCTTGTTTTCTTTTCCAGAGCATTTACAACTTTATTGCTTGTCCTTTAAACTTTGACTCAACAGAGCTCTTGCTGAGCGCATTATTTAGTTTATGGCCCAGCAGATAAGCGGGGGAGCTCTGGCGTCAGCCTGCGTGCAGCCGGCGACTTATCGGAGACTGAAAATATATAAATAGGGTTGGGCTGGCTCCAGTGTCGCCGTCTGGAGGAGGAAACCTCTCACGTGTGTGCGGTGTGGATGTCATCGGGTCTGTTTGGCCCGGCTCTCCGGGCCAGATGCTGCTTCCATTTCCTCCAGGCTGCGGGAGGAGGAGAGCAGTGCGTGCGTGCGAGGAAATTCTGGTTCATGCATGTCAGGCTGGGTATGGGCAAGCTCTTACTGGTCCCAGTTGTACAGTCCTTGGGAAGAAATCCCCCATGTGGCAGTAGACATGGGTCACTGGTGCCTGAAATGGCGTGGAGCTGGCAGAGCATGCGGTGCCAGGGAACAGCGGTTGTTGCTGCACTGTGCGGCCAAAGCATGGGGTTCCCAGGGAGTCTGAGAGGTTTGGGATCATTGGGATGGAAAATATAAGGGCTGTGGGATGCGATGGGGGGAGGAAGTAACGCTGTCTGGTCTCTCCACCTCTGCAGAAGCTTGAAGACAGCGACAGGAAAGCCCTCAACCAAATCGACAAGCTGCAGCGGGAGCAGCGGCACCTGAAGAGGCAGCTGGAGAAGATGGGCGTGGAGAGGCTACGGATGGACAGCATCGGATCCACCGTGTCCTCCGAGCGCTCGGACTCGGACAGAGGTGAGAGGAACCACACCGGTGGGCGAGCAGCACCGGGGGGGGTCTCGTGGCCGTCCTGTAACACCGCCCTTTGTCTCTGCAGAAGAGATAGACGTGGACGTGGAGAGCACAGACTCGCTGCCCGCAGACCTCGACTGGAGCAGCAGCAGCAGCCCGAGCGACTCGGATGAAAGAGGGAGCCTGCAGAGCGTGTGCAGCGACGAGGGCTACTCCAGCTCTGGCGTGAAGAGGTTGAAGTCGCAGAGCAATCAGAAGCCGTGCCCCGCTCTCTAAGGAGCGACTCCCAGGAGCCGTTCCGCCCGCCGCTCTCTCCCTGTTGGATCTCGTTAGGTAGGACGCCGGACCCGCACTTCTCCTTGCACGTAAATCTTGCACCACCGACAGAAATGAAGCCCGCTTTGCCCGAAAAAGTGCCCGGGGAGCACGCTGCCCTCTGCAGCACGCAGCCCATCGCATCCACTCGCTTCTCTTCCCGTCGGGGAAACTCATCTCGGTGAGACCGCACATTCCAGCCAGACCTCGACGCGCCCGAGAATATCGCAGCTGGTAACAGCAGTGCACCGAGAGACCTCGGCCGTTCTTCGCCTTGCTGTTACCGCCCGGTATTCTGGATCTTGTGGCATTTGCCCAGCAGTGCCACGTCCCTAACGAGCAGCAGCAGGGCCCAAACGTGCGTCGTTGGGCGACGAGCCGAAGGGAGACCCGTAGGGAAACCCAGCCTTAGGTAGCTTGGATCCAGGAGAGGGCAGAGGGAGGTCTGCGAGAAGAAAGTTTCGGCTGCGAGCTGCTGGAGCGTTACTCAGAGGGCTTCGGGTAGGACCCCTTCAGCTTTGCCACATCTCAGAAATTCCTGTAGTCCCTAAAACCAAATGGTACGATCCTCGTCCTGTGCAATGTCTGACCTCACGCGCTGCGGCCGCGTATTTTACTGTTCTAGGCGAGCATTCCTAGGACGTCCTTCACGCTTCTTGTCTCGGGGATAATTTTTTCTACCTCGGAGAGATGAACAAAGATTATCTCCATCCCTTTAGCACAAAAAAAAAAAAGATGATGCCTCAGTTGTTTTCTAGAAGCGATGCTTGGCCCCGCTCACTCCCCTCGTGAAAGTTTAGCAATAACCGGCAGCCGAGCGCTCGCCTTTTCCAGGACATGGCTCCTGGTGAGTCCCCACGGGGTGCCGCTGGTGTTAAAGCACTTGGCCTGGCTGGCGGGGTTGTTTTTAGGCACTTAGAGAGGTTTCCCAAGGCTTCTGAGGCTTCCCAAAGCTTTTGGTTGCCGCCTCAGAGAGAGAGAAAACCAAACAGGAAAGGAAAGGCCGACCCCGTGCCCCGCAAGCCGTGGTTTCCGACCCTGCAAACGCGCTTGGGTCGAAGCTAAGCAGAGCACACGTAAATGTACATAGACCACGCGAGCTATAAATAGTATTTATTCCTTTTCTATGAAACTGGTGTCGTGGAGATACCTTCTGATGACTTTTATAGATGTTCTGGAATCTTTGTACGTAGAGGTCCGCTAATGGAGAGAGAGAATTTCTTTCTTTTTTGGCTCGAAACGTTTGAAGCTCTTTCTATTCCGCCCACCTGGCAAACCTCTGGCAACGAACACCGAGCGCTCGGTGCGGCACGCCGACCTCCCGGCCCCGCGTTCGGCCACGAGCAGCTTTGTGGCTTCGCTCTCCAAGGGCTCCAGAGCTCCTCCAGGCACCAAAACCCAGCCTGCCGTCGTTAAACACTCCCGTGAGACACGCAGGATCCTGAGACTTCGCTCGTCAAGCTGCCAAAAGCCACTAAAACACCCAGCAAGGTGCAAACGAATGAACTATTAGTCCTGTTCTTATTTTATCTTTTAATCCCTAAGCTATTTTTGGATCATTTGGACTCTTTGAGAAGCAAGAGGAGGGGAGACGGGGCTAGTGGATCGCTAAAATCTCCGAAGTCTGTGCTCTGCTTGTGTGTGCTAGGTTTTGGAAAGAAAAAGCAGCACGAGAAATGTTCCTGGAGCAGCTGGAGCTGTCCGCCCAGCAGATTTGCACTGATCTATGCCTCGTGTAAGCCTTCTGCACTGGGAGAAGTCTGAGTCTTCCCGAGTCCTGAGAGCGAGCTCGAAGCGGTCCACTTTAAAAAAGACAAAAAAAAAACCACCAACAAACAACACCAAAAGACAAAAATAGGAGGACAGAAGCCACGAGGCAAGCTGAGAGGCTGCCCTTTGGGGTCTGCCCTTTTGCTGCACGATGGCTTGGGGTCTTTCCAGCTCTTTTTTTCCGCCACTTTCTCCCCACCACCACTGCAGGTGCTGCTTCGGTGCCTCCGAGCCCAGCGCTGCGGCTCCTGCTGCCTTCGGGACGGGAACCACAGCGCTGAGTCTTCAGAAAAGCACTGAGAGAGAAAAATGCTGTGTTTCACTTTCAGTTAGGCGTACCCAGTCTTAAGGCTTTGACTCTGTAAATTTGAGTGTGTGTGTGTGTGTGTTGTGCCTTTTTTTGGGTTAACGGCGTTGTTTTGGTGAAATGCTGTGTGTTTTGTTTCGTTTTCCTTTTTTAGTTTTTTTTTTTTCTCCCACTATAAAGCAGTAATTAATTGACCTTTGCACTGTTTGGACGTGCTCCTCTCCAGCTTGACGGCGCCGAAGGGCTCCACCCTTGGAAAACGAGGCACTAAAGTTGAACCGGCGTGAGGCGGAAACCCCGGGCTTTTTCCCCAAAACTCCTGGAGGGTGCTGCACCCGCAGCCCTGGTAGCGCCGCTCTCCGTTTTGCCAGCCTTTTCCTCGAATTCACACCAGCATTACTAAGAAATAAGCTGCAGCAATTAGATTTTTGTAGATTATTTAAATTAAAAAAAAAAGGGGGACAGCGAGGAGCCGCTCACGCCCCCCACGTTTACGATTGCACAGACGTGTGCGAGCCCAAACCACGCTTATTTTTATTTTTTTTTTTTTTGGGGGTGTTTTCCTTGTGGAGGAGCAGATCCGGTGCAGATGGCTCTTATTTTTGGGGAGAGCTTGCGACAGGGCAGAGGAAGGGATTGGGCAGCGTCCTGCCACTGTCCTGCCCCCGCCGCTGCTCCTCTCCTGGGCATTAGCGGCTGCGCGCCGCCCCGGCACCTTGCTCCGTCCCGCAGCACTTCTGCCCCCCTGTAGCAATAGGTACGGGCTCGGCCTCCCCCCATGGCCCCGTTTTTGTACCCGATTTCAGGTTTTGACACTGTACTGTAGCGGGAGGAGTTCTGCCTTGGCCACGCTCCCTCTCTGCTCCCCTTGTAGTGCTTGTGGCAGCTGCCAGCAGCCGGATTCCCAAAGCACCTGGACCATCCCCGTGCCCGTTCCCATCCCACACCCCACGTTTTAGGAAGAAATTGCGCGGAGGCGTCTCCATCCCCCTGCTGCACGCCTCGCGAGCCTTCCCGACCCTTTATGCGGTCTGGGTGCGCTTTTGCTGCGTTTTCTTTGCCCTTTCCCTATTTTTTTTTCCCCGTTTTGCTTCCAAATTGCCCCCAAACCACCCCCCCCTTGCCTGGCTTTCTCACTGGCTTTTATTCCCAGACTGAACGGGGCAGCAGCGGATGGGAGAAGGCGAATTTTGGTTCCGGCCGTTCAGCTCCCGGTGTAAATACCCCGGCATTACGCCTCCTGTGTCGAGACCACCCCAATGGTGCTTTTTTCTTACAGTTAGCACAGGCGATTTTAGGAAGTTCAGAAGTGTTTTAGGAGAGTCTTGCTGTGTGTATGTAAACTTCTGTACTGTTGACTGTTAGACAATAAATTATTTCATTACCAAAGCGAGCCGCCTGCTGCTTTCCCAACCGAGCTGGGGGTATCCCCCTCCCTTTCTCTTGTGGTTTGGGTCTCGAGAAGCGACCCCAATGTTGCCTGGGGTGGGGGGCTCAGCTCTGCTCCTTCCCCTTCCTCCCCCAGCAGCCAGAGCTGGTCCCCAGGCTGCTCCCAGGGGGGCTGCAAAGCCGTGTGGGGCTCAGAGATGTATTTTTCCTAACCAAACTGCCCCATTTTGCTCATTATCCTCCTTTTTGGGGCAATGATGAAGGCTCCTGAGCCTGGCAATGGCTTTTCTGCAGTGCAATTTGGTTCCTCACAGCATCCTCCAGATCCTCACAGCTCCTTCTACCCCATACCCTTCCCCCTGCAGCCTCCACCCTTTATCCCTCCTTCTTCATCCTGCCTCTTCCTATCTCTCATCCTCCACCCTTTATCCCCCATCCTTCACCTTTTATCCCCCCGCCTTCTCCTGCCTCCTCCCCCCGCCTCCTTCACCCCTTATCTCGTGCCCTTCACCCCGCAGCCCACATCCTCCACCCTTTATCCTCTGCCCTTCACCCTGCGGCCCATCCTTCCCCCTTTTCCCCTGCATCCTTCCCCTGCTTGCAGCGGGACCACATGGCTGGGGGAGCTCAAAGGGGAGCAAAACCCCAGGGAAAAGGGGTCTGGGAGGGCAAAGGAGCAGAGCAGGACCTGGGGCTGGCCCTAACGAGGCTGTGCTAACGAAGCAACACCCACCACCTGCCATGGGGCTGTGCCCTGTTGGAATCCAGGGCAGGGATCCCAAAGCCTCTTAAACCCCCTGGGGGCTTGCTGTGGGGCTCCCACCCTGCCTGGGTGCTTGGGGGGTGCTTTGGGTGCTGGGTCCCCTCTTTTAGAGGCAGCTCCTGAGGCTGGGGGGGTGGCAGAGCAGCCCTGGGGTGCCCCCCAGCCCCCCTTCAGTGAGTTTGTGGGTGCTGCAGCCCCGTCCTTGTGGGGCTGAGCAGCACAGGGTTGTGCCTACACAGCAAGGGGCAGCCAGAAGAAACTCAGAACTGCCTGAGATGGGTGCTTTATTTCCTTTTCTTATTTTTTTTTTCCTATGTCCTGCAGCAGGGTGAGCGGTGCCAGCCTGATCGGTGCAAGCCTGTGAGGTTTTGGCAACGAGGGGGGCACGGGGATGGGGGTGGGAGCCCCCTCCATGGTCTGGGGGCTGCCGGAGCACTGCGCTCGGCTCCCAGAGCTCTTCTCCCTGCGGGGTTGGGGCGAGGACCCCTGGTCTCCTCCTGTCCCCAGGAGAGGCTGGAGCGACCCAGCAGCACAAACTCTGCATTTTTAGCCCGTGCTGCACTCAGGTGGGGGAACCCCAAGCACCCCCCAGGCCCCTGCTCAGCCCCAAAGCCCCCAGCTCACCCCAAGTGCAGCCAGGGCTCCCCAGGGTGGCGGTGGTGATGCTTGCCTGGGGGTTCCCCCCTGGGTGTGGCCACCCCTATATTTGGGGTGCAGCCCCCCTCGAGCCCCCCACCTGCCATTCCTGGGTGCAGCGAGGAGCAGCGTGCACCCGGCGAGCGGGACTTCTCCTTTTTGCAGCTGCTTGCTGGAGGGCGAGCAGGTAACCAGCCCTTCCCTGCTTGTTTTTTTGTCTCTTCCAGGCCAACCTCTGCCCGCCTGGCGGCCCCGGTGGCCCAGGGGCTCAGGGGAAGGTGATGGTGGCGAGCGGGGCGAGCTCCAGCGCTGGCTCCAGCGCCGGCGCCTGCTGCTCGGAGAAGGCAGGGGGCTGGCGGCTGCCGTGGTGGCCGTACTCGAACTTGATGCGCAGCTCGCCGATGCGGGAGTGAGGTAGGATGTTGGGGATCCACTCGATGATGAAGGGGGTGGGCTCCTTCTGGGTGGGAGAGGTGTTCCCTGGGGGAGAGAAGAGGGTGAGGAGGGGGGCCTGGGATCTCGCCTTGTGGTCCCAGGGGGAGGCTGGTTGGGTTTTGGGGTGCTGTCCGTAGTGGGGGGCTTCTAGATGAGTTTTTTTGGGGGGGAGGGATGTGTGACTTGTTGTGGGTGTTCAATTTCAGGCAGAGGTGGCTTTAAAGGGGGGCTTTGTTGGGAATAGGAGCTGGAGAAAAACCTCATCTTGTACCTAAGTGCTTTTTTGGGGTGTGCAGGGACCCTTTATTGAGGGAACTCCCCCTGTGTAGAGGTTTGGGGGGAGCCCCTCTCTTCCTCATGGGGTTTCCCCCCTGTAAGGTTGCCCTGGGGGGGGGGATTCCTCAGCACCTGGGGGGTTTCTTCGTGCGCTGGGCCGCGCCGCCCCCTGCCCACTCACCCACTTTGAGGAAGGTTTTGAGCTCCAGCGGCCGGATGGCCGGCTGCTTCTCCAGGCGCCCGTAGGTCTCGGCGATGCTCTCCACCTCCACCTTGGGGCACTTGAAGAGCTCATAGGTCCCGTCCCGGTTCTGGATGAAGCTGCGCGTGATCTCCAGCGGCAGCTGCCGGCAAGCACGGGAGCACCCAGGTAAGGAGCTCGGCTACCGCGCGGCAGCGTGGTGCGGGGAGCGCCTTCCGTCCCCCCTTACCTCGGGCGTGTCAAAGATCTGCTTCACCTGCAGGATGTTGGTGATGTGCCACGTGTACTTGGAGAAGGTCCCCAGGGGAAGGGCGTCTTTGCGGACGAAGGCTGGGGAAGGAAAACGGAGTTAGGGGGGGCTGGGGGCGAGGAAAAGGGAATTAAGGGTGGCTGGGGGGGAGGAAAATGCGCTTAGGGGAGGCTGAGGGGGAGGAAAACTGAGCTAGAGGAGGTTGGGGGGAAGGAAAATGGAGTTAGGGGTGCCTGGGGGGGAGGAAAATGGAACTAGGAGTGGATGGCGGGGAAGGAAGTGGAGTTAGGGCTGCCCCGAAATGCTGGGGGGAAGCTGCAGGATGGGGCTGGTGCTGCAACTTCATTTTTTCTTTCTCTTTGGCTGCCCTCAGAGACAGCCCCCAACCACGCTGCTCTGCACTTGCTCGTGGACTCTTCTGGTCCATTACGAGCACGATAATTGCTTTAATGAAGTAAATCCTGCCTGGCCCGCTGCCTCGAGCTGTGCCTGCTGCATTCATTCCTGCAGCTCTAATACCTCAGGTCTTGCTCAGCCTGTGTCCTCTGCCCTAGGGCTGCTTCACACCCTGTGGGGCTCCTTCCAAATAAAAAAAAGCTGCTAGAAAAAAGAGAGGGGTAGCAAAGTGCCTGCTGCTTGCTTCTTCCTCCCTCAGCAGGCACCCAGAGAGCTCCCTCTGCGTGAGCAAGTCCCCGTCGTACCTGTGGTGGAGTTGGGCAGCCTCTTCTTGGCGCTCCCGCTGGAAATCCTCTGCTGCAGCGCATCGAAGAACGCCTGGGGGATGTGGAAGACCAGGGGCTCGGGCTTGCCTGCGCGGTCACAAACACGAGGGCAGGGGTTAGCGGCCGAGAGGCAGCGAGCCGGGGAGGGAGCCGGGGTTATTCACCTCTGTTCCCTGCTCAGGGTTTGGGATTTCCACCACCGGAGCCCTCCAAGCTGGCTGCGAGAGCCGTGCCAGGGTCTGCCCACCAGGGAAGTGTTTCCTTATGTTTTCCTACGTTTTCTCGTGTTTCAGTTTGCGTCCTTGGCCTCCCGCCCTGCGTCTGGGCAGAGCCTGGTCCTGCCACCTCCCTCCCAGCAGAAATCTCCGTGCTGCCTCCAGAAAGGCTGCGCTCTGAGCACCCCTGGTGCTCTCTGCCAGCTGCTTCCAGCCCCTCTGGGGGGCTCCAGTCTGCAGAGGGGCAGCAGGGGCACAGCAGCTGCCCTGTAGGGTTTGTGGTCAATGCAATCCCTAAGCTGCGGGGGCAGCCTGAAGGGCTTGGAGTGAGCGAGGGGAGCTCAGCAGCAGCAGCTTGCTGGAGGCCAGAGGCCTTGCAGGAGCCCTGCACCTAACAGCTGCCACAGAGCGGTGTGTGGTTGCCTGCTGGGAGCTACTCGGGGTGTTCTTACACAGCTTGGAAAGAGAAAACCCCTTCCTTCGGGTGTTTTTGTGCTTGGGGAGAGCCCAGCTGGCTTCCAGCACAGCAGGCTGAGAGCTTTAGGAAGCGCCACGCAGGAAGCGGCGCCGCTGACTTCTGCTCCTCTGGGCTCCCAGATGCGAGCTGCTGCCTGCAGCCGCCCGTGCACGGGGCTCAGCTCACCCCACACCACGCAGAGCCCAGCCCTGGGGGCACGCGGGGGGCTGAGAGCAGCAGCAGGCTCGGGACTGGCAAGGGAGGATCCCCAACATTTCTTCGGTGCCACGTGAGGCACCTCGCCTTACCTCACCTCACCTCTCCGGCTCAGCTCCGGGCAGTTTCTTCACGCATAAATAACCTCGAAGGGAGTTTCTCCCTTCCCCGAGCACAAGGAGCAGCAGCGAGCTCCTGCTAAGCTTAACGCCGTGCTCGGGGAAGGAACCAAAGCCAAACAGAAACTTCCCAGGGCAAAAATAACGCTCGGCTCCGAGCTGAGCAGAGCACGTGCCTCCCTTTGGGCTAAAGTTATTTAATGCTGCCGGGAGCTCGGCTGCTTAAAGAGGGCGCTGGAAACAACGCTGCTGGCCCCAGGGGCTCGGGGGCAGTGGTTCCTGAAGCCTGATTTACCTTCGAACTGGTAATGCATGGTCTGGTGGATGCGCTCGGTGACGCTGGCCAGCCAGTCTTGGAAGGACAGGGTGACCTGCGCCTCGTCCAGCAGCTGGTTACAGCCTAGGAGAGAAAAAAGAGAAGGGAATCAGAGTCCCCCAACGTCACACACGTGTGAGGAGCAAGGAAACGGGCAGGAACAAAGAACCACGGCCCCCCCAGCGTGGTGTGGGCTGGCCCCACGGGAGCTCCTCGTTTTTTTTCCCGTTTTACCTTCACCGGTTCCCCGGCGGCGCCGGCGCCACGGGCTCTGTTAAGCAGAACACAGAAAGGCAGCAGACAGGAGGACAAGAACCAGAGCGAAACCTTTCTGAGCGGGCACCGCTCTATCGGGCGTCCCAGGGGCTCAGAAACACAAGGGTTAGCTTAAAAGCAGCGTCCTGCTTCAAAAAAAAATAGATAAAGGTAAAAAAAATAAAGGGGCCGGGGTCAGTAAGAGCTAGGGGCTGGGCACCACGGTGTTGTGGGGGAGCAGCTTCCCCAGGAGCAGGGTTTGGAGGGTCCTGGGAGGTCCAAAAAGCTCCCCGGCATCAGGCAGAGGGTTTGGGTTGATGCTCGCTCCTGTTTCGGGGCTCACCTGCTCAAGGAGGGCAGCAACAGAGCAAATCCGACCCAGCAAAAAAAGGGCAACAAAACGGGGGGAAAGAACCACTTTCTGGGCAAAAACTACAACTGAGAGGTTAAAAAAAAAAGGTTCAAACCACGCTGTACAAACCCTTTTGGCCCTGGCCAGCCAGCAAACCCATACAGATGGGTTTACCTGCCCCAATTCCCCTCTTTTCCCCTTCACACGAGGATTTTATCGCTGTGACGCCCACGCCAGCCCCATCCCTGCCTCACGCCACCTTCCCAAATCTCCCTGCACGAATAAATCCACCGAGGAGCAGCTCAGCACCATCCCTCGGTGCCGAACAGATTTCGGGGCAGCTCCCCCGCCCCGTGCCGGGCGAGCAGGGCCCCGGTTATTTTCCACCTCCCGAATTTTCTTCTGTTTTTTTAACGAGGGCCGGGGCTCACCTTGCCTTTTCAGCGAGGAGGCCACGGGCGGTTTCTTCGTGCTGCCTCTCCTCAGGCTCGCCGGGTCCTGAGCCAGCAGCGGGCCGCTCGCCTGCGTCCCTGGGGGGCAACACCAAGGGTTAGGGGGCAGCGAGGCCGCGGCCCCATGGCCCCCCCAAAACCCTTTGCACCCCCTTCCAGCCTTCAGCCCCTCCAGCCCCAGTGCTCACCACACGCCGGGTCCTTTTTCCTCTTCTTGGGCTTGGCGGCGGCCTCCCCGGCCTGCAGGGCGGAGGCTTCGGGGCCGCACAGCAGCGGGGGGACGGCGACACCTTTCAGACCTAGGGGAGAGGAAATTGGGACTTAAAATCATCTCAATTCTTCACCATCGTGGGCTGGAGTGATCCTGGGGGCTCAAATCCACCCCCCGGGGGCTCAAACCCTCCCCACGGTCCCGTAATCGTGGCCCCAAGCAGCCCTACGGGATGACCCCACAAGGGCTGGGGAAGGAGAAGCAGGGCCAGGACCCAAATGTTTGGGGTTGGGGTCGTTTTCCAGGCAGGGGATGCTCCCCAAAGCCTATGTGACTGAGGTCTGCACATCCTGAGCTGCTGCTTGTAAAAAAAACCAAAAAACTAAAAAAAACCAGAACCAAACCCAGGAGGTTCGTACCCCTACAAGCAACAGAACCAAACCCAGGAGCCGTGGCCTGGCTCCCCAGAGGGACCCAAAAACCTTCCCCAGCCCCAGGCAGAGCTTTTTGAGGAGGGCACAGCGAGGCCTGGGGCACGATTTCCACCTCACACACATATTTTTAGGGTCTGATCCCCAGGCAGGGCTCGAAACCACTCCCCAGCTGCTTCAGGACACCTCTTCTGCAGCAAACCCGGTGCTTGTAGGGTTTTTTTGCAGCAAACCTGTTGCTTGTAGGTTTTTTTGCAGCAAACCCATTGCCTGTGGGTTTTTTTGCAGTAGACCTGTTACTTGTAGGTGTTTTTTTCAAAAAACCTGTTGCTTGTAGGGCTTTTTACATCAAACCCGTTACTTGTAGTTTTTTTTGCAGCAAACCAGTTGCTTGCAGAGGTTTTTGCAGCAAACCCATTACTTGTAGGGTTTTTTGAAGCAAACTCATTGCTTGTAGGTCTTTTTTTCAGCAAACCCATTCCTTGTAGGGTTTTTTGCAGCAACCGAGGTGCCACCTAACAAAGCACCAGCTAACAAAGCACCAACGGGGAGCGGTCACGATGCTCCCTTTCCCCCGAGACAGCAACGAGTGTGCCCGATGCCTGACACCACCCCAAACCCTAAACCCCCTGTGGCGCCCCCCCTACCTCCGGCATCGCAGGCGAGGAAATCAGCGAATTCCTGCGCCAGGCTCTCGTCGCTGGCGAAGGCGCAGATGCAGGCGAAGAAGTGAACGCAGCGCGGTGCTGCCGGCGCCGCCGCCGCCTCCTCCTTCCCCCCGGCGCCCCCCTTGCCGGGTTTTGGGGTTTGGCAGGAGCAGACGAAGCGGTGCTCGGCCAGCGCCTTGGCGCTCACCTTGTGGCCGAAGGAGGCGTGCAGGTAGCCCAGGCTGTGCCTCTGGCTGGCCTCGCACTTCACCACCAGGACGCTCTTGGTGACGCGCTGCACCAGCGGCCCCGTGGGCTCGGCGGCCAGCTGCCAGAGGGTTTGCTTGGTTTCGGGGGACGCCTGCACCGAATTGAGGACGGAGCTTTTTAGGGCCAGCGGCGTGGCTTCCGTTTGGCAGCTCAGGGCCAGCTTGACGTGCTGGCACTGCTTCTCCACCACGCCTTGAGCGGCCGCTTGCAGGCAGGCCGGCACGTGGCAGCGCCCCGCGCCCAACCGCGGCGCCGCGGGGCCGACCACCGGCTGCACGGCCGCCTCCGGGACCCCGAGCTCTACGAAACCCCGATGATCCGGCCCCCGGTCCCGTTGGCGCACGGAGTAAAGCTGCGCTTCGGAGCCCGTGATGAGCTTGACGGCGTCGACGCCGGGCTGCTTGCGGGTGCCGTAGCGGAAGACGGCGCCGCAGGTCTTGTTCTTGCAGCTCAGCCCCCGCGTGCCGTTGTAGGTTCCGCAGCGAGGACATTTGCGGATCCCCCGTAGCGTCGCCTTGCCCAGGTCCGAGAGGAAGGACGGGGCCTTCGGCCTCGCCGGAGCCGGCTCCATCCCGCTGAGGGGGAAAAACCTGCGAGGGGATGAGAGAAACGGGGAGGGGAAGTCACGGGAGGGACGTGGGGGATGTGGGGTGCTGGTGACACCTACAGGGCCCTCGGAAAATGGGGTGGGCTCAGCAGGTCCCAAAAGCGGAGAGGAATCGGTTGGGGGGGGGTGGCTCCGTCCTCAAAAGACCCCAAAAGTGGGCAGGAGCCATTTGGGAAGGTGGTTCTGTTCCCAACAGACCCCAAAACTGGATAGAAGCCATTTGGGATAGTGACTCCATCGTCACCAAACCCCAAAAGAGGACAGAAAGCATCAGGGAGGGCGATTCTGACCCCAAAAGACCCCAAAAATGGAGGGAAATCATTTGGGATGGTGACTCCGTCCTCAGCAGACCCCAAAACCGGACAGGAGGCACCAGGCTGGGGGGCACTGGGGAGGCACTGGGGGAGGCTGGGGGGAACTGGGGGAGGCTGAATGGAACTGGGAGAGGCTGGGGGGGCACTGGGGAGGCTGGGGGGAACTGGGGGAGACTGGAAGGCACTGGAAGAGGCTGTGTGGAACTGGGGGAGACTGGGAAGTACTGGGGGGCACTGGGGGAGACTAGGGGCACTGGGGGAGGCTGTATGGAACTGGGGGAGACTGGGAGGTACTGGGGGAGATTAGGGGCACTGGGAGGCACTGGGGGGCACTGGGGGAAACTGGGAGGCACTGGGGGAGGCTGTGTGGAACTGGGGGAGACTGGGAAGTACCGGGGGGCACTGCGGGAGACTGGGAAGCACTGGAGGAGACTGGAGGCACTGGGGGAGACTGGGAAGTACTGGGGGAGGCTGTGTGGAACTGGGGCAGACTGGGAGGTACTGGGGGAGATTAGGGGCACTGGGGGGCACTGGGGGAAACTGGGAGGCACTGGGGCAGGCTGTATGGAATTGGGGGAGACTGGGAAGTACTGGGGGGCACTGGGGGAGGTGCTGGGGGGCACTGGTTTGCACTGGGAGGCCCTGGTGCAGGCCGGGCGCCCCCTCCCCTCCCCTCAGGGGCTGCTCCCCCCCCCCCCAGCCCCTCCCCTCCGGAGGCCGCGCGGTGACGTCACGGCGATGACGTCGCCCCCCGCCGTAAGGGAGGGGAGGGGGGGGGGGGAGCCCGGCGGCCCTCCCCGCCGCTCCACCCGCCCCTCTGACGTCACTTCCTGCCCCGCGGCCGCTCGCCCGCCCCCCCCCTCCCCTCGGTTACCTGGGCGCGCGCCCCCCGCTCCAGCCCGGGCCCGCCGCGAGGCCGCTCAGCGCCCCCCCGCCTCCGCCATGGCGCCGGCCCGCCCGCCGCCGCGCTCCTATTGGCCCGCCGCGCCCACGTGACGCGCCGCGGGGGTCGCCGGGAGATGTAGTTCTAGCTGCGCCGCAGTGCGCAGGCGCAGTGCGCACCGAGCGGGCAGCCCTTTAATAATGGGGTGAAAAAGGGCGATTTCGGCGCTTTCCCACCCAAAAAGTGACTCGAGTGGCAGGTCCTCTCCCAGGGAGAGCCAGCCGGGAGCAGTAATAGAAGGAAATAAATAAGAGCACAGACCAAGCTTCAAGTTTGCCTTTTTTTGTTCTTTTTTTTTCCTTTTTTTCCCTTTTTTTTTAATTTTCCTTTTTTTTTTTTTGAAGGCTGGCCGAGGTAGGACAGAAAAATGTGGTTTGGCTTCCGAACCTTACAAAACACTTCGCCCAGCTGACATCACAGCGGCTTCCTCAGCATAAGACATTCCTGCAGCCACCTGGAAGCTTTTTTTTGGTGTTTTTGGTGTTTTTTTTTAAAGTTATTAAAAACAAGAGAAGATGAGGTTGTATTCAAAGACTACCAAAGTGTATATTTGATATCCACATGCAAAAAAAAAAAAAAAAATTATGCATAAATCAAGGACTCTGCATCCTACCTTTAAATAAGGAAACATACAAAGTTTGCTAACGTTTGTGCAAAATATTAATTTGCTAAAATATTTTACATAATCAGTACATGTAAATGTAGAAATCGATAAGATAAAAAAAAAAAAAAAAAACAAGCTGGTTCGTAGGTATTCATCACATTTTAGTAAGAGTTGGAACAGGGTTTTCGGTGTCCCGGTACACATCGCAAAAGGGATTTTTCCACCAGAAGATTAAAAATCCTCTCGCGCGAGCCCGGCGGGGGTTGCTGTAGGCACCTGCTCGCGGGGAACACAACGCACACGACGTTCGGTCCCTCGGAGGGGTCGGGAGCCGATTCAGCAGCGAGCGTCGCGCGTCCCCCCGTGGGGTGAGAGCTTCGGTCACGGTCGTAAGGCAAAAAGACAACTCTGAGAAAACGCTTCGGTACAAAACGATGTAAACGAATAACTTAGAGTGGAAAACCCGGTGTAACAAAAGCGGAGAGATGGACGCTTTATACAAGAGGCTCTTTTAAAACAGACTTGTGCAAAGGCTGGAGACGGAGCCGTCCCCAGAATTCACACGCTTTTGGCTTTTCTTTTTGTACAACGGCTTTTATAATACACTTTTAAACCATTCGGAATGCAAACTAAAACTGCACGCTACTTCCAAGGAAAAAAAGTTTGACAATTGTGCAATTTCCTGCCCCAATTTTAAGTGGCAGTAGTCCCTGCATTTGCTGTGTTTCAAACGTGGATCTTAAGAAACACATATAGAAAGGAGGAAAAGAAGGCAAAAGTTGGCAGACATCCAGCATCTCGTTTTTTGTGATTTTTTTCTCTTTTTTTTTTTTTTTTTAAACAATGTGGATGACAATTTCATGATTAAAAACGCTTTTTTTTTTCTCTCTCTCTCTCTCTTAAATAAATACACTGTATCTGACACTTGCACTGACTTGATCTGGTAATTCTTTGCGGTAAACAAAAGGCTTTGCAGCACTCCTCGCAGCCTCGAGCCCAGCAGCCTTCGGCTTCAGAGTCCTTTTCTCACTGCGTTTCGAAGCCTGCCATGCGGTATCCAGTTTGGTTGGTGATCACGCTCCCGTTCTGCCCCTGTGGTGGCTGAACTCCGTAGTTCGCCCCCATCCACGCTGCTGAAGACTGCGTCTGGCTGTAGGGGAGGAAATCAGAACATTAGGTGAGGTTTGGACTCAGAGGAAGACTGGATGTGCCCGTGTGAGCCCCGAGTGTTGCCATCCGGGATCTGCACATCATTTCCTGATCTACTCAAGCCCACAACGAGCACACCTTGGCACCTGATCCAGATTTTCCAGGGCTATCAGGCACTGGTGCTTCTACGGAAGGGGATGGAAAGGAGTTTCACCCCAAACACTCAGCCCCATGACAGTGGGAAACTGTTGGGGCTCCCCAGCCCCTAGAGCTGCTGGAGGATTTCACACCCACAGCACATTCCCTGTTTGGCAAGAACACAATTTAACTCCCATCCAAGCTCAAGAACCACTTTGAAAATGCCATGGTTGGAAAACAGAAATCCTCGTGCTGCTCTCCGAAGGAGAAGAGAGCACACGCTCCCCCGCAGGAAATCCCCAGTACTCACTTGAAGCCCTGCTGGTTCCACGCCTGCCCGTACATCCCGTACGCCGGGACCTGCCAGCCGTTGGGCATGTACTGACCGATCTGCGCGTTGCCGTACCACTGGCCCCACTGCCCGTACGCCTGCGGGTAGCCGATTTGATTCTGCAAGCACAAAGAGCCTCGTATTATGCAGTGCCCAGGAGCGCTGCGATTTACAGCCTCACGACTCATCCCGCCTGCCCCATCTGCCTTCACTTGGAAACTTGTAGGTCTGCTTGCTAAAATAATTCAGAAATGGAAATGCAGATATTTAGTAGATTCCTTCGGCGCACAAACATTTAATTGCTCAAGTTTCACCCATAAACAAGGCAGTTGTCTCCTCAAAGAGCAGAGCCTTTCTGCAGAGATGCAGAAAAGAGCAACAGCACCGACATTTACCTTCACGGCAAAGATATGCCACATGTGGACAGCCTTCTGCAAGTTTTCTTCAAAATTTTGCATCGTGATTTTTTACATAACAAGATTCCACATCTTCCAAAGGATTTTAAATCCCTGACTGTGCTTCAGAGAAATACTCGCTAATGAAATAAGTGATAACATAAATCACACGTGCTGCATCATCAAACTAGCAAGCACAAAGGCCATTTAACAGTTTTTTTTAAAGCCTTTATCTTTGATATTGGCACAGAGTTCTGACCTGCTGGACCGGACTGATCATGTCTGGTGTTTCCTTGCCCCAGTAGCACTTCACCACGTGCCCTTCTATAGTTGTTCCGTTGACAGAAACGATGGCGTGTGCAGCGCTCTCGTGAGAATTAAACCTGTTGACACAGAAATTGTACCAACATGAACAATTTGGTGAGCAACATCTGGAAATAAACCTGAGAGAGCCCCAGAGCCAGCAGCACGGGTTTAGGTTCTGCTAGAAGAGCAGGCTGGCTGCAGAGACTTTTTTTCATCATCCCCCAAAGCAGAAGGACTGCCAGGCTAAGGTCGGTTTTCCTGTCTCAGTGTTGTAGCTCGTTCCATTATCACTCAGTAAATAAGTTAAAAAATTTAACAGCACAGAGAGCAAGTCAATAATTATTTATTATTTGGAGCCTTGTCAACTAAGAGATGAGGATGCTCCCAGAAGTGTCACTGAAACTGAAATAGTTGGGGATCTGTTATGATTAAGGCTACTGCAGCACTGCTAGGGAAGGGCAGAGCAGCATAAACCAGTCCCAGATTTGAATTATCAGCACTGGTAGTCACGGGACAAAGGCCGGGTCTTCCCAACAACCCTTGCCAGCAGAATCACCCTAACCCTAAGTCAGAAAGCAGGAGTCTTCTGCCAGATGCATCTCAGGCAGATGTGGCTACAAGCACACCGGGTTGTTAATAGCCGAGGTTATTTAGACTGAGTTAAGTTTTTTTTCTTCTGCTCATGCCAGCAGCTCTCCAAGCCCTAACTCACTCTTCAGACCAGGCTGCAGTCAGAGAACCCTTAATTTTCACGAAGCTCTTCACAGCCTTACCGCACGAAGGAGTATCCTTTATCGGGGAAGACTCGGATTTCCATTATCTGCCCGAACGGAGAGAAGGTCTGGCGCATTAGCTGTTCTGAAGCAACAAGAAGCAGAGCATCAGAATGAGGTGACGGCGGCGTCACTCGGTGTCACACAACGGGACACCGCGTTTCGGAGACACGGTACCTGTCAGTCCCGAAGTCACACCCCCGCAGTACACAGTGCAATTGCTCGGGCTGGACTGATTGACCACGTCGTCGTAAGACAGCTGTTTGGTGTTTGCTGCAAGAGATTTTTTAGAGAGTTTTTCAGCCGATCGCACACGTGTTATGCAACAACTCTGATCCCAGCAGGCCTCCAGGAAGGAGCCAGGCCGCCAGAGCTCGTGACAAATATTTACCAAGGTCAGCACTTTCACTTGGGTATGTCTGGCCGTCTATCTGAACCACAGAGTGGTGAATTAACGTCTCAGACAGACACAGCCTCCAGACCTTTGCTCTATAAAACACAGGGCAACAAGTTCTTCTTAAGCACTGGAGTGTTTACTCATAGGCACAAGACACTGGGCACAACTCGCCAACACCCTGAAAACAAAGGGTGGCACGGGGCAGGAGGAAAGTTTGGTCCCCAGTACGTGACTTCTGGCAACAGCTCCCATGTGGGACAGGCTGCTCGGGACAGGGACACTGCTGTGAAATTAAATTCACATTTCAGGCCTATCTAATAGGTCCAGTACACCTCATTTAAAATCTCTCCCATGGAAATGCTTTAATGCAGTCCCATTTGCTCTCTATCACAGCAGGAAGCCATAAAAATGAGGGAGCAAAGTTAAAAAAAAAACAACCAACACAGTCATCTCAGTTGTGCTGACAGAGACAGCTCCCAATCTAAGTGTGCAGAAGCTTGATGGATCCCCCTAGTGGCAACATTAATACAATCACCATCGCTTGATTTATTCAGGAGTTTTGAAAGTGTTCAAGAGTTTTTGCTTTTTGAGTACCCACTTTCCTTCTCCCCTCAATCTCCAAATGTGTGGATTTCACAGTTTTCGCTTCCTCCCCACGTGTGTGGTGGGAGGTTTGCAGAAGGCCCAGCTGAACACACTCACATTCGTAGGTACTCTTTGGAGCCGGAGGTTTCCTTGTTGCCCAGTTTGTTCTGATTTGCCTTCCACCAAGCCACTGGCCACCCATCTGCTGAATAGCATTCTCTGCATCCTGCCCACGAGAGAGGGAGGGGAAAAAGAAAAACATTCTTGACATTTCTGCCTTTTGAGATACAGGCACAGGAGTGAAGTCACCACACACCTCCCCTGCCTGATACCTGCAGTTTGCCAAAAGAAACCTTCAAAGAAGGGGTTTTAGGGAGGAGAAGGGGCACTGTTAGGCTTCACGGAGCACATCAAAGGCTGCCTACAGCAGGACCTCTGGTTTCTGAAGTCACACCCCATCCAGCTGATATTTTAGCAAGATTTCTTCACCAAAACAAGTACCAAAACCTTCAGCTCAGCTGGCAGGCAGTCTTTCAAGCAGGTCGCCTTAACCTCAGGCAGCCCAGAACTTTTGCTATTAACTCACTGCCAACAAGCAGCATTTATCACTTTGCCCTAATTCTCTCCAAGAAGACACCGACAGGTCATCCCACCTGATATACCAGAGATGTTCTCTTTGTCATTCCTGTACCTCACTCATTTTGATGTCACTCGCCATCAAGGCTGAATCACTGAAGCCATACTAAAGCACTTTGCCAAACAGACAAAATCATTTGCCCCTCAAGAGGTGGGGAAACTGAAAACAGGGTGAGCTGGGGACCAAAATACTCATTCCCTGGAGCAGCTGCTGAAAACCACCACCCACTTTTCAGAGGTGCTCTAGACCGTGCCGCATCTTACCCATTTATTGAAGAAGGAAACGAAGCCATAGCCTTTGGATTTTCCCGTTGCCATGTCCTTAACCACACGCGCATCCCTTAAAAAGCAGAAACAAGAGGCAGTTTAGCACCTTGCGAAGCCAACCTCGCTCAAATGACAACTTGAGTCACATGTACAGCTTATTCTCACGTTTCACCTCTACTAAAGTCAACTGTTTATTGCACCAGCAACACAGTCAAAGCAAATGGCTTCTTTTCTAAACAGAACTTTACTAATGCTTTGCCAGGTAGTAGCAAAATTAAACTTAATTTTGTAAACATGCAAATCAATAGCTTCTCTAACAAACGTATGTACTTTACGACAGTTGGCTCCCGCTTCCAAATGCTTTTACATACTGTTAAGACACAAAGCATGGTCAAAGCAGCTATTCAAAAGAATCACTGAAGCCACGTAGCTGACTAACATTAGCTGAATGGCTCTCTTTAACCATGCAATTTTTAAACTCGCTATTTGCCAACACATTCTACCTACTCATTCAAAATATTAAATAGAAAAAATGAAAAAAGATAGGAATTAAAAGGCATACGTCGCCTGTTAACTGAATTCTTTAATTTTCTCAGGTCAATTCGTTACCCCCTTTTTGGACTGTGGGCAGCTGTAAATTTTGAGAGATTGACATTTTCAGAAATTATTGAAGAAAATAAAACACCGAAACATTTATGTTTTAAACTACATATTACAAATAATTTAAACTGCATTTGTACAACAGCAATCATACAGGACTGATTGGAAACTACAAGATATAAAAAAGCAAAAAGAAAAATAAAATTTAGAAAAGTAAATAAGAAAACTACAACGTTTGTCCACTGTGAACTGTAGCTTGTAGTTAGCCATGGCAATTCTGTCCATTCTTCAGAGACACTCTGCAAAATAACCAGAGCCCTATTATTTGAGATTGAGTTAAAAAGAGAACCCAGCTACAAGAGCTAAACCCCACTCGTGGAACGTCATTCTACAGTGTTTCTCAGGCAATTTGCGTACGAGTTAGCCAAGGGCTGAGATGCTCTCGCCTACAGGCCACCCTCTCCTCCCCTCCTTTGCCCCACACATACAGGCAGTAAAGAACAGAAACAAAAACAGAAAACCAGTCAGAAAGTCATGCAATGTAACTTACGGCTGTATAAAATTATACGGGTCAGAGAAACTAGCGTAACATGTGCACAACATTTAGCATTCCAAGACTGGCGAGAAAAGTCACAATGAAGAGAAGGTTCGTTACACTAATTTATTTCTTTTAAGCCTTACATTAATTGCAAATGGTGTATCATCAGCTTATTCTGGTACACGTAAGCCCACAGCACTGACACCATCGTTAAGGCCCAAGGAAAATACCTCTTCCAATGCTAGAAACATTATTTCTTTATTTTTTTTGTAATACCTCCCCCCTCCCATTGTTCCTTTTTTTTTTTAATAAATAAATAAAATAATAATAATAAAATTATTTATTTCCCTTCCTGGGTTAGATCTGAATTTGGGTAGTTTGTTACAAATTGCCTGAGAAGAGCCACTTGGGTACTTTTAGATCGGTTTGCTCTGAATAGCCTAAAGAGGGAGGGGGGGGAAAAACTCATCTCTACTTACCCTCAACTGAAAACTTTGAAAATAAGACTTGAGAACAAGTGAAAACATGCGTACAGCAAGCATAAAAGGAAACCACAATGAAAGTGTGCTTTTACAGTGATTAAAAAGTTCAGATGCAAAGAATTACCAAAATTTCTTATGTGCTAATCATGCAGTAGTTCAACCTTGGTTTCATGAAAAAAAGCTCAGTTTAACACCAACAAAAACAATGTTTTTAAAAAAATAATCAGGAAATATTCCATTAGCACCACATTTCCAGAAACTAGTCACTGATGAGGAACAAGTCAAGTCAAGTAACTTCATTCGACTGTTTAAGAGACAGTAGCAATATTTATTCCTTCAGGTTAAATTTAAATAAGTAGAAAATGAAGGTCCCTTCGGCTTTATTTGACCCTCTGGGGGAACAAGAGTTTAGGAGTTAAAATGGGGACGCTTTTTAACTACTACTCTCGTTTTGGACTGGCAGTTTAAGCCAGGGCAAACTGCAGCTTTCAATTTGTTGGCTTCACAGTGGTGTGCTGAGGGACACAAAAAAGAGCGCTGCTCACCCTTCCCTGCCACCACCACTGCTAGGGAAGAGAAACCTCGTGCTCTGCAGAGCCCGGTCAGCAGCCCTGCTCCTACACGGCAGCAGCTCTGCATCCAAAAAGCTCTCCTGGAACAAAGGGGAATAGGGATCGTGGAGCAATGTTCGCTATCATTTCTGCTCCCCCAGGGGATAATCAGAAGTTAACTTTTTGCCCCTTGCTCAGGAGGGGTTTTGTTTGGGGAGTATTTGGTAAAGAAGAATATCTGCTGAGAGCCACCCCAAAACCCCACTGCTGAATAGGTTGGGGCAAAGTTGTTTGTAGCTCTACCACATTCACACCAGCGCAGCCAGCTACTGCTCCCTGCCTTGCGTTCTCATTCCAGCAGCAAAGCGCCAGTTTGGATCTACTTCAGAGTCCCTCACGCCTTCCATCCAGAGCACATTTGGCCGTGAGGATAAATTGACTCTCCTTAAGAGTCTGACCCTCTACATTGCCTAGATGACAGGAGATGGAGTCAAGCTTTACAGTTCTCTGAAGCAAGCGACATTCAGATCACTTTTTTTTTTTTTACACCTTATCATAAAAGGAAATCAAGCTGGCATTAAAAGAGTAATACACTGGACTCTGAGGGAAAAACAAAAAAAAAACAAAAAAACAAACTTACTTCAATTAAATGCTTCACTACACAACACTCCAAAGCACTCTACGTTCTCTTACATCACCATCAAGAAACTTCAATGTCCAGTACAGACAACACTACAAGGAAAATTAATGGTTTACATTTGGAGGATGGAATGAACGAAGTGCTCCTTACTGCTACACCCTGCATAGAACAAACCAGCAGGCGGAGACCTGCGGCCACAATTCCCCATTTGCACCACGTTCGCTTGTTACACCATCGCCCTGCACAACTGACGAGTGCAACTCGGCCAAGCCCTACAGGCTGACACAGCGCCGAACACTTTGAGGCCAGCTCGAGCTGCAGCCTTCAGGTGCCACAGGGAGCCTTGCGCTGGAAAGGTTTTTATTTTGGGGGAGTCGGACTTCGAACTGCCAAAAAAACTGGATGCTACTGGTGGCCTGCACGCCACGGCTAACAAAAAATCCAAAGCCTCACGAGACGTGAACATGCAAACGGACTCAGTCACAAACTATAAAGCGTGATGCTTGTGTGGTTGCTGAGAGGGCAAGTTAAATGCTTAACCCCACGTTTATATCTCTTTTTTTTTCCACTGTTGCTTTGCCAAACAATGCAAGGAGTATGAAACCAAAGCAAGTCGTGTGCAACTGTTCTAGGAAAGCAGAATGAGCTACTCTAAAGAAATCTCTTTACACATCCTGCTTAACACCCAACCTTTCAGACTCGAGGTGCTGTATGAACAGATGAATGTATATTCCTGCACTCTGTCAACTCTCATTTTTTACTTACTGAAACATGAGGCTGCCTCCATTTAGGAGAGAGAACTTTTAGTTTATTTACCCTCTAAAGTTACTTACGATATTCTTCCAAATGGCGCAAAAGCTGCTTTAATATCTTCAGTTGTGATTTCTGGACTGAGGTCTCCAACAAAGACATGGAAATGGTCTTTTGGGGAAAGAGGAAAAAAAAGGAGTTTAAAGTTTGAAGAAAACCCCTGAACACACAGACACAGACATGTACACACACAGAGTACAGCACTCTCATATAGCATGGATTTCCAGGTCTTAAACACTACATGAAGGCTAGAGTTCACTATGAAACAGAATTTACTACTGCTCGTAACAGATCCACTGCTTGGTAGCACTATACTGTCAGTAACTTTAAGTATACTAGTGTGACATATGGCATTTACGTTTTGTTTTTACAAACTGCTTTTAAGACCAGTCTATTTACCATAAAAGGTCTCAAGCTATTTACTTAATGTGCCACACTACAAGAAAATCTCTGTCTTGGTACACTAATGTTAAGTTTCGATACGTTACGAGATCATAAACTATATAAAATCTCATCGACTGAAACATCTCACAGTTTCAAGAAACGCAGGTAACAGTCATTCTAGAGCAGGACATACTTTGAACCTAGCTAGACGTCCAAATTAACACCGTAGGTTGTGAAGAACAAATCAAAAAAATACCTTGCATTGCAACAGTTTGCTGTTAAAGAATTTGAGTTCTCAAAAGCCCCGAGTTTTGGTTGCCCAGCCATTACACCATGTGAATCCACGTGAATTCAATGTGTGTGAATCCATGTGCAAGTGAACTAAGACTGAAGGCAACAGAACGGAAAGAGTAATCCCTTCAATTTGTATCAGATCCATTAGAAACACGCACCAAAGAGAAACAAAAATCCTGCATCTGAGTTCCTCCACTACGACCAAACAATCCATCACACACCATCTTAGCAATACACAGACTTTCGTACTTTATTTGCACTGCAGCAGGTAAGAAACTTTCAAGGCTGCTGGGATGTTGATGGAGTTTAACCCCACTTGGCTCCAGGAATTCAAAGCTTGCTGAGAAAAGCAGCACTAGCTACGCTTGCCATTGAGTAGGTAATGATGAAGCTCCATTTGGGAAGAACTCTACGTGCTCCCAAGGAGTCTGTCTGAAGCAGTGCATACTGCAGTGTTAAAATGAGCCAAGTATTCTGCCTCAATAGCAGAGGAAAAGGTGTTTTTTTAATTATTTTATTTTTTGATGTTGTTTTATACACACATATATATTTATTTCTTTTTAATTTCACAGTTGCAATCCTATGAAACACCTGAACACCAGCACCAGAATGAAACAGTGAACACTAAGCTGCTTTCTGATGCCACAGGGAAATGAAAGGGAAGTCTCTCCATAAAAAAAAGTGAAATAATGATGAACAAAAACCCCCACACACAGCTCCAGGTGGTTAGTGAATACCCTCGAGAGATTTCATTTTATGTTTAAGAAGATACAATTACCTTGTGAACGCAGTGTGTTGACAACGGTACTACCTGATGACAAAGATTAGATTTGTTCTTAAGTTCATTAACACAAACACATTAAATAATATCTTAGGATTATGATCAAAACATTACTGCACAGAACCGCACGATGCTTACTGCTTATGTTTAAAAGCTACTGCTACAAATCAGGCAACAACTCGATGTGTAAGCAACACTTACTGCTCGTATCTTTCTTCTGGCTGCTGGGGGTTGTTGCCCAGTTCACTTTCACCTCCTGCAAACATCAATTGTCCGGGTTAGACCACAGCAATCACCACTGAGCATAGACACCACCAGCATTTAATTCTGATGCTACAGATGTGCAAGATTCAGGGGAAAGATTAAGCTGAAGGTGTTTTTTTTTGGGGGGAGGGCTTGTTCTTCTAAACTGCATCCTGCTAGCTAAAAGCACAGCAGGTGAGCGCGCCCTGCCTATGTATTTTGGGTGGGTGGGAGTGGTTTTTTTTCAGGGATGAGGAGAAAGGGATGTTGTCCTGGTAAGGCCAGTGCAGTTAAAATATTCTTTATGGCTCCTGTCCCCGAGCCCTCCCCAATCCTACATTCCCATTTGACTCTGAATTCTTCCTACAACAGCCAAAAAGGCTTTTCTGGTCAGCCACGCTGAGGCTGCTGTTCAAACCAAGTGCCTAACGCCTGCAGTGCATCCGCCTGGCCTCGCGTGGGGTTTCTCCCCCACAATCTGAGGTACAGCCTGTGTTTTCCAGCTCCAACTCACCCTGTAGACATGACAGCTTACCTTACCCATTATCTTCCGGCCATTCATAGCAGCGAGCGCTGCAGCCGCGTGGCGATGCTCGTAGAACTCCACAAAACAATAGGGATCGTTTCCAGCTGTCTGGTAGAAAAGAAAAAAAAAAAAGATTTCTGATCAAAACCTCTTCAAGCTGTAGCCTCGCTATTATTCTCAGCTCCTTACTTATTAAATCTGAACATCTAACTCATCTGATCCAAACACGAACAGTGCTCCAGGAGGTTTTGGTTTAAGTAAAAAGGTTTAAGGATGACCCAAAAGGACTTTTTGAACCTAATTCAGAACATCTCCATGGATTAACCTGCTCAGTCCCTTTCAAAATGCCCCCCCCCCCTTAAATTATACCAGAAATTGGGCCAAAACTACGCGACTGTGACCTCCACCTTTATTATATCCCCTTAAGGTGGTCACACTGTATTTCTAGGAGAATTCTGAAATACTCAAAGACCCAAAGCCATCAGTTCTAACGAGCACAGAAATAATTAGGCGAAGGCTCTTACATCCATGATCATTTTGCAGTTTTTGCATGGTCCAATCTGGCTGAACAGCTGGAGGATGAGAGCTTCGGTCACATCTCTTGACAGGTTCCCCACATATCTACAGAACCAAATAAAAGGTTAGAAGTGCAGGTGCTAAAGCAGGCGGAGGCAGAGAAGAGGGATTTTAAGCAGAAAACCTGAAACACGAGCCATCGAGAGCCTTGGCAGGTCAGTGCTGGGCACCACCAACTCCGACTCTCCCCAGAGAGAGATTTGGCATCTGAAGCAGCAGTAGGAACGTGGCCACTGGGACACCAGGGGACAAAAGTCACGTAACAGAGCAAATACTGCTGAAAGTTGTCCCTCTAACACCCAGCCCCACCAGGCTGGCCCGTGAAAATGAGGCATGCAGCGAGTCAGGGAACAACAGGCACAAATGGGTCACTTAAGGCAGTCAGCAATAGCCCCTGCCCTTGGTCCCACCAAAGGTCTGTGGCTCTAAAATTCCACTCTGGTTCAAAGCCAAGCAGAAAGCCCCACAGGGGCACCCAACGACCTCATTTCCACGTGTAGAAATGGTTACAACCACCAAGTCTTGGTTACAAGACTTCTGAAAGCCCTGAAACAACCAAGGGTGACTGTGCTAAGTGAGGGCACTCCCTCATCTTCCTTCATTTGAAAGGATCAGCCTTACGGAGTACAAATTCACCCCCTCACCTTGCTTTGGGATTTTTACAACACTTCTGCATTCTCTGCAACAAAACATGTAAATCCACAGGGATTATTATTTTTTTTTTAATCCTAAATCACTGGATTTTTTAAGCAAGCAGGCGGAGAAGCAGGCAGAAACCTCAGCAGCACCTTCCCCCAGAGGAATGCCGTGTGGCCAACCACGGCCTCAGCCACACCGTGGCCCAAACCCTGCCAGCAAACCTCGAGGGGAGCAACTATTTCAGGGACGAGCCAGAGCTGCACTCCACTTTAAGCAGGTACATGCCCCAAACTTCAGCAGCATCAGCTCTTCGAGGCACGAGGCGAGGTCTTCCTGCACTTCTGCTGACTTTTCCTTAGCCAGAGGAGGGTTTAGTGCACTGTCCTTAGGACAATGAACCCTGTGCTTGATAACGAGCAGGGTTTCTTCTCTCCTTAAATATTATCGCAATTAGGATTAATAAATAAGCCCAGGCACTGAGCAACGACCCTCTCACGTGACTTCCCGGGTTTATGAACAGTTTACTTATCGCTGCAAGTTTCCAGACACGGTGTCTGCACCCTGACCTTTGTGCCAATGCTGGATTTTCACTTTGATAACCAGACCTTGTATTAGGCACTCCCTGCCTGCAGGTTAGATTTGGCTGGAAAACGTGGGATTTCGATAAAAGATCCCTGAGAGTCCCACGAATCTCTCCAGACCTTTCAAAACGTTTCCATAAAGTGCAGCAACATACATGCATGCTGATTATACACGATCTGTGTGACTACACACTAGATTTTGACCTGCTTCTGTGCAGCACACACCCGGACACTGCCCTGCATGAATTTTCCAAGAAGTGAGCCGGGTGATGCTCCACCTGGAGCAGAGATCTTCGGAGTGAGAGGCTCGTCATCTCCTGCATCCCCTTACCCCTGTTTTCTGCTAATTGGATTCTCAGGAGCGAGCCAGGCGCTGCTTTTCTCTGCAGATGAAGGATCCAGGGCACCCTACACACGACTCAGGGTGTGTAGATCACCACGTGTCTTCTTGAAAAGCACTGCTGAACTGTTAGCACTTCCTGATCTTTTTAGGTGCACAGAGTAAATCAGGTACACGAACTCAAGAAGCATGTAAAGTACAAACAAGAGCTCTCTGCCAACTCCAAAAACACTGTCTGCCTTGTAACTGCTCTTCAGATTCATCATCTCTGCCGTTGGAGAGCGACTTTTGAGGACGGTGAGCGGCCACGTGAAGGGAGCCCCTTCTCCAGGAAATCATTTACACAAGCAACAACAGCTCCCAACGTTTAACAGCACATCAAGGCTCTCCCTTCAAGGAACACGTTACAGGGACATCGCAAGAACAAGGCCTTATTTCCAACAGCATCTGGAAACTGTTCCAGAAAAACTGCTTAAATATGCTAAGGGAACTAAAAAAACACGTCTGTGGATACCCGGCTGCTTCCTCACCTCACAACACACCAAAACTCTGCAAGGGAGCAGCAAAACCCACATCCAGATGGGATTTCTGTAGCACTACCTCCAGAAATCCTGGTGCAAGCAAATATTTAGCACCCACTTCAGACCTGAGCTGGAATTCAGCAGCATTTCCTTCCCTCGAGCTGCTCGCTCTCAACCCAAGCTGCAAACCCCACAACAAACCCTCTGCCTGATGCGGGGACGCTGCCGAAGCGGGTCAGGGGAACACAGCTCCCATCACGTCGCCCAACGGGGAGCTCTGCAGCTCCAAAAGCCACCCGTGGCTGTGCACCACGCCGCACGTGCTCCACCACAGGCAATTCCCTCCCTCCAGCACGAGCTGTGAGCCGCCGAGACCACCGCAGGCAACAACTTCACGGGGACGGAGGGGGGAAAACATTGCTCTAAATAACCACACCGGCATGCCTGTGTCTGACCCGTGTTTGTAGATGCTAAGAATAGTTTGGAGGCGCGAACCAGGACACGTGGAGGCAAACACAGGTTTACCACTGAGGAAAGCCCGGAGCTGAGGAGCTGGCCTAAGTCACGTAAGAGCCTTGTTTTCCTCCAGGTACTCAGCCAAGCCATGCAGCAGCCCTTGGGATAGCTGCGGCCGTTGTCCAAGGGTGAAACTTTCCCCTCAGCTTGGCAAGAGCCTCTCTCCCTCCTCATTCATCCCGCCAACGTGAAACAAAGCTCACGGTGGTAGCTGGTACACTGATGGAACAGGAAGGCTGGGGAGTCCGTGATTTTACCAAATCCTAGGTTAATTAAGGAAACCTCTCCAGGTAAAGCTGCCAGGGGAAGGAGGGAAGCCCACCCCTCTGTCTGCACCAAACACCTTTCAAACCCAGCCAGCTACAGGAGCAGCAGCCGACCAAAAGCCCAACTGACAGTGACGGGCGTCAGCTGCACAAACACCACCAGCAAAATCTCCTTGTGATTAAAAAAAAACAAAACTATTTAGGGTGCTTAGCAAGGCGAGGAGCTGCCCCCCAGCTACAAGCAGCTCCCCGGGAACCAAGAGGCTCACAGCGTGCTTTAGGGGCACTTGGCCAGGAGCCGATTTGGGGGTTTTTCCTCAAGCTCCTGAGCACCTCGCTGCTGGCTGAGCACCTTCCAGGCCGGGGCTGCCTCCTCGCTGACCGATGCTCGGAGCTGCTGAGGAGAGGAAGGGGAAGGGGGGCTGCGAAGGGCTGAGGCCCCAAGGGAATGGGGCGAGGGGCACGGCTGGGCCCTGAGGGGTCGGGGCCGGCTACCCTGAGGCCCGAACCAGGGTGGGAGCAGCCGCCGGGCCCCTCGATGTGGCGGAGGAGCCGTGAGGGGAGCTGAGGAGAGCGCCCGGGGCCTCCCCCTCCCCGCCGAGCCGGGAACAAAAGGGCGGTGGCGGCGGCGCCCCCTCCCCACTCACAGGGTTTTGGGCATTTCATCCTCCATGCCGGCTCCTCCTCCTCCTCCGCCGGCCAGCCCCGGCTCTTCAGGCCCGCAGCCGGCCCCCTCAGCGCCTCACGGCAGCCCCGAGCGCCGCCGGCCCCGCCGCGCCCAGGAAGCCCGGGGGTCCTCACAAGATGGCGGCGGGCGGCCGAAGGGGGCCCGGCCGGCCGAGGGGAGGCGGCAGCGCGCATGCGCCGCCGGGGCTGGGCCAATAGCATTCGCCTCTCCCCCCTCCCCTCCCCGGTGGCGGCGCATGCGCACGAGCGCCCCGCGCCACCTCAGCGTGCGCGTGCGCGCGGGGAAGGGACGTGAGGGCGAGGGGAGGAGGGAGGAGGAGGAGGTTGTGCGCATGCGCTTTGCTCCTGGTGCCCGTTTAATTTGGGGGTTTATCGCTGGTTTTTGTGCCCCCGTCTCGGCGTTATGAGGTTAAAAAGTGTTCTTGCGTCTCCCTCAGGCGACAAAAGTAATTAAAAAAATAAAATAGAGTAGAAAAAAATAATAAAAATAGGGGTGCGCCGCCCGGGAATCGAACCCGGGTCGCAAGAATGGGAATCTTGCATGATACCACTACACCAGCGGCGCGGCTGCTCTGCGGCCCCCGCCCCGCCGCCTTTAACCCTGCTCCGCCCCGCCTCGGCAGCACGGCCCGGCCTGGCCCGGCCCCACACAGCGCCATGCCGGCCGCCAGCCTCCTGCTGCTCCTCGCCGCCCTCTCCCCGGCCGCCCTGGGCCAAGGGGGGCAGCGCGGTGCCCCCGGGAGGATCGGTAACGGCGGGGTGGGGGGCCGGGAGGGGGTCCTGAGGGGGCTCCGCGCTGCCTTCCTCCTCCTCCTCATGGCTCTTTTTCCTCACAGCCGTGGTCGGCGGTGGCATCGGGGGCACGGCGGCGGCTTATTTCCTCCGGGAGAAGTTCGGGAGGGGCGTCCGGATCGAGCTGCTGGAGAGGGAGACGGTGGGAGGCCGCCTGGCCACGCTGGAGGTGGAGGGAGTGGGCTATGAGGCGGGGGGCTCGGTCCTGCACCCCCTCAACCTGCACATGAAGCACTTCGTCAAGGAGCTGGGTGAGCGAGGGCAAAGCTTTATTATTTTTCCCCTCCCTGACCCTAAAAATCCTCCCGTGAAGCTCCCTGGCAATTCCACGCGCTCGTCTGAGGCAGGTGGGGCCCCTCATATTGAGGGGCTGCACATAAACAAACCCCTTCCCTTCCTTATAACAGCTCCAGGACCAAATTATAACATCCAGCTGAAGCTAAAATCCCCTCAGGAAACTGAAATCCTTTCAGGAAGCTAAAATCCAAGCCTTGAAATTCCAGCCTCACTAAATTACCTTTTTTTTCCCACCCCTTTTCTCAAGGTCTCCCCGCTGCCCCCGTCTCTGGCGGCCTCGCGGGCATTTACAACGGAGAGGAGTTCGTCTTCGAGGAGAGCAGCTGGTACATCATCAACGTCCTCAAGCTCCTCTGGCACTACGGCCTCAACCCCCTGCGAATGTACATGTGGGTGGAGGACATCCTGGACAAGTTCATGCGGTAAGGAGGCCGCCTCGGTGGCTGGAAGCCACGTGCTGAGTGCTGGACGTTACTTACAAGTGGTAGGAGTGTTAGGGAGGAAAAGGTTCCTGGCTGCTGGCATGGGTGCAGTGCCTGCCGAGTTGCAAAAATGGGTGAAATCTTCCCGTTGGCACTGAGAAACAAAGCTCTGGTTGCTCTCTTTCTGTTGGTAATCTTTTCCCGAGGAGGAAGATCGAGGTAAGTCCTGTAATGATGAGTTTAGTAGATGAGTTGCCTCATCTACTAAAAAAAGTAGATGAGGCAACGTGCTGCCGGCAGAAACGTGGGTTGGGGATCAGACGATCCATGGCTCTGGCACCTGGGTGCTAAAGGTCGTTGAATTTGTAGCAGTGCACGATGTGCTTTGGTTAGGAAAGGTGAGCGGATTGAAAATGGGCTCTCTTTAGACCTGTTACCACTTAGGTTAGGTCATGGCTGGAAGGACGAGCCCTGCTGCTGCCTTCAAAGGCTCTCAGGAGCCCTACCCCAGGAGGCACCGTGAGATTCTTTTCATTTTCCAAGGGCAGCAGATAATTAACAGCAACTGAACGCTTGAATTCTGTTTCCATGATAAGAGCGCCTTGGCTGGTGCACGTGTTGTGCAGCTGGTGCGAGCGTATTTCCTTTTCTCCCGTTAAAGGATCTATCGCTACCAGACGTACGACTACACCTTCAGCAGCAACGAGCGGCTCTTTCACGCCCTCGGAGGGAACGATTTCACCCAGATGCTGAACCAAACCATCGATGAAGCCATGCAGAAGGCCAGCTTCTCCCACAAGTTCATAAACGAGATGGTTTGCCCGACCATGAGAGACAATTTCGGGCAAGGTGTCAACATAAATGGGTTTGTAGGTGGGTGTTTCCTAGGTCCTCCCCCTGGGAAAAGGGGCACACGGGGCGGAATGATGTCCTGGTGACCTTGTGCTCTTCATACCGTGTGTGTTGGGGTTCCTGCTTCCTGGGCTGGGCTGGCAGCAACCAATTTATTTATTTCCTATCGCAGAACGATTCCTTCCGCTGCCCTCCCTGGCTGGGTTACTGGGTTACTCTGGCAAATGAGCAATCGCTCGCTAACGTGACCTACTTAGCTGTGTCATTAAGCAAGCTCTGTGTCCCGATGGGACACCGTTTCCTTTAATTTTCCACTTGCTGCCTCAAGCATTTCCCTACAGACCGGTGCTGGATAAGTAGTGCTAATGATCGTGGTTTCCTTGTAGGTGCTGTCTCTCTGGCAGGGGCAGGATCGGGCCTTTGGTCGGTAAAAGGGGGAAACAAACTCGTCTGCACTGGCCTCATCTACGCCTCGAAAGCAGAATTTATCTCCGGAACGGTTTTGTCTATAGAGCCGAAAACCAGACCCAGATCCACAGGTGAGTTGCATTTGTTTTCCCTTTGGGGAGGAGAACACTGCTCAGCTGCAGCTCTGGTTGGACCAAAGCCTTTCTTTGGTCTTTTAAAATGAAAAAAACTGGGCTCTGTTCAAAGCCAAAGATCGCAAGCTGAGTGTGTACGACTTCAAAAAGCTTCAGCTGACAACAAGGCGTAAAAATCCTAAGTGGGATGGGATTTATAAGTGGGAAGGACGCTGGGATTTCCCCCAGTGGTGAAACGGGATGACCGAGCTCTTCTCTCCTCCCCAGGGGACCCCGTGAAGCTCTACCAGGTCACCTACAACACGACAGCGGGGGTGACAGGGGACACGTACGACATCGTCATCATCGCTGCTCCGCTGAACCGCAGGATGGCCAACATCACCTTCAAGAACTTCGACCCTCCCGTCCCCGAGTTCTCCAGCCCCTACCACCAGACCGTGGTGACCTTAGTGCACGGGCGCATAAACGCCTCCTTCTTCGGTTACCAGGACCCTTCCGCCTTTCGTTTTGGTGCCATTTTCACTACGGAGAATCCCGAACTCTTCATCAACGGCCTGGGGATGGTGTCTCCGGTGGAAAAAAAGGGTGAGGAAGGAAAGCTGCCCCTGCAGTCGGCCGTCTGGAAGGTGTTCTCCAAGGAAGTGCTCACCAAAGAGCAGCTCAACTTGCTCTTCTCCTCCTACGACTCGGTCAAGGTGAAGAAGTGGCTGGCGTACCCTCACTACAGCCCCCCGGAGCCGTTACCCCCAATCATCCTCCACGAGCAGCTCTATTACCTCAACGGCATCGAGTGGGCCGCCAGTGCCATGGAGATGAGCGCGATCGCGGCCAAGAATGCGGCGCTGCTCGCCTACCACCGCTGGTACGGCAACGCCGACAAGATCGACCAGGAGGACTTGCACGAGAAGCTGAAGACGGAGCTCTGAGCCCGAGGAGCGCCTCGCTCGGACCTGAGGCCACCCAGCTGCCTCCACGCAGGCACTGCTTGATTGGAACGGTAATTAAAAGGTGGCAGGCGCTTTAAATGAGCGCTCTCACGCAAAACACTCGCTCTGCCCCCGAGGTATAAATGCCACATTGACCCCAAAGTGTCCTTCTCAATGAGGATCTACATCGCTGTGCTCAACTGAGCCCCCCCCAAAACCTGTGTGCATCGATTTCCTTCAGTTGGGGAAAAAAATCACCATCTCAGCCCTGAACTTTTCTGCCTGGACCTTTTTTTTTTTTTTTTTAGGATCTATCAAGTAGTTAGCTCTTGGTGCAGTGGAAATCGTGGCTTCGTTTTTAACTTTTAATTTGCGTCCAGAAGTACTGTGAGCTGGGGGGGGGAGATGGGTCTGCTTCTAGCTAAGGGGGTTGGGGGAGTTGCCAAAACGCCCGCTTTTTGTCAAGGTTTAGCTGCCTACAGCAGGGCCCCGCTTGGTTTTAGCAGCTCAGCTTTTCGGGAGAAGCTTTTCTGTCCCCTTGACCGTACCTAACGCTGCTGCGACACCTCAACCGCGTCCAACTATGCAGAAAGCACTGGATTGTCATTAAAATAAAACTAACATGATGGTTCGGAGGGAGCTGGAGGCGTCGCCTGGAGCTCTGTCTGGGTTGTGTTGCGTTCTCACGGAGCTGCTGTCGGGCCTTCATCAGCCACGTACCGGTGTAGTCATCCTCAGCAAGCACTGCAGGGCTGAGAACCAAAGGAATAACGTCAGTGCTAGCGGCTAATCCCAGATTTCTGGACAGGAATTCCTTCCTGATGGAGAACAAGCTAATTAATTGGCTGTTAGTTAGCTGCAGGGGCAAGGCTGCGCTCACCTGGAGAGCTCAGGCTCAGCAGCAGGCCACCACGAGCACTGCCTCATGCTAGGAGTGATGAATTTAGCTAATTAAAGATAAATTGCAGGACAAAAAGGCAGCTGTACACTTGTAAACCTGCCTACTACCAGAGGAATTCAGCTGGGGTCGCATTTATTGCGTCCAAGTTGCTGCTTCTGTCCCTGCTTTCCTCCTTCCGCGCTGTTTGAAGGCTTCCAGCTTCTGGAAGCCGCCCCATGGAGGGGCTGGAAAGCAAACTAAATATTTATACCCATCTATATGATGGGTACCTAAATATTTATGGGTTACATACTCAGCCCCGGCGCCTGCCTGCGGCGCTGTACATAGCGGGCTCCCGAAAATGTCACGTAGCCAGGGAGGGCTGGAGGAAAAGGTTTGTTTAAAAAAAGTAACAAAAAAGGACCTGAAAAAAAAGTCCTGTTCACTGAGGACCTGGAAGGGGCAATGACTGGCTCACAAAACCACCCCAAAAAGGCCAGGTTTTGTTTAGGAAGCTCCCAACGTTTCTGCACAGCCCCTGCAGGCCCTGGGCGTGCACCACAAGTGCCTCTGTTGTCCTGGAGCATCAGCACAAGCCGGCCACAGAGCAGACAGAGAGCAAAAAATATACTTAAAAACCTTAATTTAAAACATTTCCTCCTGCCTGGGCAGCCCCCTTCAGCACAAACACTCTCCGGCACTATCAGCAGAGGGGAATTTACCGTTTTCTTGGCAATCGAGACCCCATGAACAAGGCTCAGCTTTGTTGCCTGTTTTTTAGGGAAAAAACCAAAAGTAGAGGCATTTTAAAATCATCTTGGAGAGATTTAGCATCCTGAGAGTGTTCCCTGAAGCTTAAAGCTACCGACACACTGCTCTGCTCAAAGAAGTCACGTTCTAGCTACACAAAAAGACCAACTCACACGAGTTACTTCAACCATTACAAAATTTATTAAAAAAAAAAATAAGTTTACACTCCTGAACACTTCACTCCAGGTTCAGGGAAAGGGGTACACAAAACAGGGCGGGTTCGGTCTCGTCACAGCGGGTTTCACTGGCTCTACACTCGCTCCAAAGCTTCCAGCATGATGATGCTGTTCCCTCGTATTACCTGCGAAGAGAAGGCGAGAGCAGTGAGGTGACAGTCTAAAATGTGGCTTTTTTTTGGACGCAGGAGTTGTGGCTTTTTAAAACATGGCTTTTTTGCACACAATTGATTTAGGTTTGTGCAGCGGTGCAGTTTGTTGCCCCCTGCCCGCCCCCGCAGCACTCACCACCATGCCGATGTTGTTCTGCTGCCCTCCCTGCGCCATCTCCACGCACTCATCGATGACCAGGTTCATGAAGGGATCGAAGCCCCGCAGAATGCCCTGCACGTGGCGGCCGCCGTTCAGCTTCACTGCAAGAAATGCGTCGGGTGTAAAGGGCAGGCAGCAGCTCTCCCCACGAGGGAGGTTCTATGTGTTTTTTTTTTTAGTGTGTGAGGGGAAATTAGAGCATCACATCACCATGGGGCCAAAAAAACTCCTTAAAGCAGGAGATGGGATGTGGGTTGGCATTAACGGGGCTCAAGGGGGTGACACGGGGACACAGCGCGGCGCCAGGACTCACATGAGAGCTTCTTGTCCATGAACCTGCAATGAAAGGGAGAGGAGGTGAGAGGTGCTGAGGTGTGTGGGGAGGGCTGGGGGGAAGGGAGAGGGGCTGGGGGGGAAGGGGGGAGTCTGAGGGGCAATGGGGAGGGGCCTAGGGGGGAGTACAGGGGAAGGGGGGGTCTGAGAGGAAAGGGGAGGTCTGGGGGGGAGTATAGGGGAAAGGGGGGGGTCTGAGGGGGGAGTATAGGGAAAAGGGGGGGGTCTGAGAGGAAAGGGGGGGGGCCTGAGGGGGGAGTATAGGGGAAAGGGGAGGGTCTGAGGAAAAAGGGGAGTGTGACGGGGGATCTGAGGGGGGAGGCCTAAGGGGGTGGGGTCTAGGGGAACGTGGGGTGGGTCTGAGAAGAAATGGGGGTGGTCTGAGGAGGAATCTGGGGGAAATGGGGGGGGGTCTAAGGGGTAAGTTTGGGGGTCTGAGGAGAAAAGGGGTCTGTGGGGGGGGGGGCACGGCCGCCATGACACCGGGCCGCGGGGCATGCCGGGAGCCCAGCGGGCGGCTCCGTGCCCGCCCCCCCTCAATCATTCCATCCCCCCCCCGGCCCCGCAGCCCCTCCCGGTGCCCCCCGTCCCGTCCCGGTCCCGTCCCGGTCCCGTCCCGGCCCCGCTCTCACTTCTTCAGCTCTGGCGGGTGCGCCTTGCTCATGGCGTCCCCTCAGCGCCGCCGGCCCTCACTCACGCAGCCGCTCGCGCCGCGCTCTGACGTCAGCACGCGGCCCGCCTCAGCCAATCGCGCCCGCCCCCCGAGCCCTCCGCCAATCGCGCTCGCCCCTCGCCGCCCGCCCCGCCCCCCCGCCCTTCGCGCCTTCCCGGCGGCCAATCAGCGGCGGCGCCGGCGGTGGGTGGGGGGGGAGGCGCAGGCGCGCGGCGCAGCCCTGCACGTGGCGCCGCGGCACGTGGCGGCACCGCCGGCTGCAAAGAGGGCATTGCACAGCCGCTGCATTGCACCTTACTGCAACCTGCACTGCACGCACCCTGCATTGCACAGCTGCTGCATTGCACATTGTAGCACCTGCTGCATTGCACATTATTGCTTCCTGCATTGCACCCCTGCTGCATTGCAACCCTGCCGTGTTGCATGTTGTTGCACCCAGCGTTGCGCCCCTGCTGCACTGCGTGCTATTGCGCCCTTGCTGCATTGTGCCCTGCTGTTATATCCTTGCACCCGCTGCATTGCATGCCTGCCGCATTGCAAGTTACTGCTTCCACTGCATTGCACTTTAATGCACTCCTGCATTGCACAGCTGTACAGCACACCCACTGCATTGCACAATATTGCACCCACCGCATTGTGCACCTGCCCCATTGTGAACTCCCTGCATTGCACACCCACTGCAATGCATGTTACTGCATCCACTGCACAGCGTGCACCCTACATAACACACCTACCGCACTGCACACCTGCTGCATTGAATATCATAGCACCCGTTGCATTGCACATACCCTGCATCGGATGTTATTGCATGCCCCTTGCATTGCACGCTACTGCACCAACTGTATTGCACATCATTGCACTCGCCGTACTGTGCTTTATTGCACCTCCTGCATTGCACACACACACTCTGCTGTCCTGCCCCATGCACACACACCAATGGTCAGCCTACCCATGTGCAGGCTGTGCTCAGCACACACACAGGGGCCACGCCTCCATTGCACACGTGCACAGGGGCCACCCCTCCATTGCACACACACACACACACACAGGGGGCACCTTGCACACATGCAACCATCACAAAATGCACCCACTGTGCACACTGTGGGGGCTCACCCTACACCGTACAAAGGCATCACCCGATCCGTTGCACATCTGCACGGCTCCCCCTGCACCCCCTGCACGCCTGCTGCTGCTGCAGGAGCCCCCCCAGAGGGCTGCAGCCGCCTGAGCACCCCCGCGCTCCCCCCGACCCCGCAAGCAGGCCGAGTGTGGCTCCTCGCCTTTAATGAGCGCGCTGCCCCCGGCGCCCCGCTACTGCCGGAGGGCGGCCAGGCTGTCCTTCATCTTCTTGGCCATGGCGGGGATGAGGCGCAGGTGGTCGTCCCCGCAGGCGGCCACGCAGGCGTCGAGCTGGGCGCGCACCCGCGCCTCCGTGCCGCCCGCCTCCAGCGCGTCCTTGGCTTTGTCGTTGCAATGCAGCGTGCAGCGGCTCAGGCGGTCCTGCATGGGGGCAAGGGGACACAGAAGGGGGGGTCAGCAGGCTCAGGGAGCCCCCCACTGCTGCCGTGCACCCTGCTCTGCACTGTGGTTGTGTTGCTCCTCACCTGGAAGCGCTCCAGCTCGCCGGTGACGATGGCTTGTGCTTGGGCCAGGGGTGCGTGGCACCGCTCGATGCATTGCTGCACCTGCTGCATGGAGGCCGTGCTGTTCTCGCAGCACCGGGCGCTGCACCGGAACATGGCTCCCTGCAAAGAGATGGGGTCAGCAAGGTGCAGCCCCCCCCCCCCCCAAGGGAAGCCCCCCACTTTGTGTGAGCGCCTTGCAGCAGGCAGAGCCCACGGTGCTGCTGCGCACGGAGCTGGGTGCAACCTCCTCGGGCATTTGGGGAGGTGGGGAGGTGCACTAGGGGGGGCACAGAGTTTGCAGGGGTGGGGGCACAAAACTTGCAGAGAGCATGATGCGGGGATGCACAAACCTTGCACAGGGTGGGAGGAAATAGCTTACATAGGGCATGCACTTGGGGGACACAAAGGTTGCAGAAGACATGAGCTGCAGGGGGAAGGGGGGGGGGGGGCACAAAATTTGCACAGAGCATGCTGGGGGGTTGCTACAGCTTTGCACAGGGCATACGTTTGGGGGGGGGCACAAAGATTGCACAGGGCAGGCACTTGGGGGTGCAAATTGCAGGCAAATAATTGGGGGGCACAAAGGTTGCATAGGGCAGGCACTTTGGGGACTCTGGGCTTGGACTGGGAGGCACTGGGCTTGTACTGGGGGGCTCTGGGCGTGCACCAGGCATGCACGGGAGAGCCGAAAAGGCTTGCATGGGGGGGGGGGGGCAGGAGCTGCACGGGACGAGGGGGGGGGGGGCTTTGCTCGAGCAGGGGTAACTCGGAGAGGGGGGTGCGGGGGGGCCCCTGGGGGTACCTGCATGCCGCGGATGCTGTCCCGCTCCAGCTCCTGCACCGCGCTCTCCACCGCCGCCTGCACCCGGCTCTGAGCCTCCTCCGCCATGCCCGGGCCGGCCCCGGCAGCGCCGCCCCCGGGGCGGGGGGAAAAGGGGAAGGGGAGGGAAAAGGGGAGGGGAGGAACAGGGCGGGGGGAGCCCCGGCACCGCCCTGCAGGGACGGGGAAAGGGGCGGGGAGAGCCCCGGCGGCACCCGCTGTGCAATGCTGCAAGGGTGTGCAACGGTGTGCAGCGCTGCAAAGGCTTGCAACGCTGCAGCAGCGTGCATCTGCATCATGATGTGCAACGCTGCAACGACATGCAATGCTGTAATGGTGTGCAATGTTGCAACAGCATGCTGTGCCATAACTGTGTGCAATGCTGCAACAGTGCACGACTATGCAATGGCGTGCAATGTTGCAGCAGCATGCAGCATTGCAACTGTGCACAGTGCTGTAACAGCACGCAATGCTGCAAAGCATGCAGCACTGCAGCACCTTGCAGTAGTATAACAGCATGCAACACTGCAACAGCACACAGTGCCGTAATGGTGTATAATGCCACATGCTGTGCAATGCCACACCAGTGGGTGATGCTGCACGCTGTGCAGCACTGTAAGGATGTGTGACGCTGTAACGACGTGCAATAGTGCATGTCGTGCAATGCTGCACACTGCGCAACGCTACACTGGTGTGCAAGGCTGCCTGCTGCCCAATGCTGCCCCAGTGCACTGTGCTGCACAAGATGCAATGCTGCATGCCCGTGCAATGCTGTGCTGCTGCATGCCATGCTGCTTTGCACCCCTGTACCACCCTGCTGTGCTGCTCTGTAACAGCTTGCACTGCTGTCCCCCCCCCCCCATGCAATGTGCACACGCTGATGCAACACCCAGCCCGTGATGCAATGCCCGTACAGCACCACAGAGCAAGGGCTGCTCTCACCCTGCCTGGCTCTCGGTGCTGAGCCTTTACCGAGCCCTTCAAACCCCCCCCAGTGCTGCACCGAGCCCCCGTGGCCTCATCCTGCTCCTGGGCCAGTGGCCACAGCCCCAGTACGGGGCCACCGCCAGCCCCGGCCCGCCCGCGCCCGGAGCCACCGCCGTGACGGCGTGGGGCAAAAATCCAGAGAATGCATGAGCCAGCAGGAGGCTGTGGGAGCTGGCGGACACGGTGGAGCATGAGCATGCACGCACAACCCCCTTTACCCCATCCCAAACCCCAAAATGCAGCCAGGGTCCCGCCGGGCCCCCCCCGTTACTTTGCAAGTCCAAGGTGCAAACGTTGCTGTTGTTTCCATTGCTGCAGGGTGGTGACACCGCGTTGCTGCCCCTAAAGAGCTGCAAGCAACTTCCTTCAAGGGCTGCCACCCTGGAGCTTAGAGCAAAAAAGAAAAACCCCAAAAGAGACTCAACTCCCCCCCCAGAAACCAAACCGTGAGCACAACACCAGGCACAGCCTTCTGAAAAAAGTGTCCTTTATATCACTTAAATAACTCTAATCCAGGTATATTAGGGGGAGGGGGGGAGGGAAAAAATAATAACAGGACAGCCGATCACAATAACATATTATAGAAATCAAAATTAATTTAAACCACACAAAATAAATTAAAACATTAAATATTAACTTTCAGTGCAACATATACAGAAGACAGAGTAACCATGACTAAAAAAAAACAAAACAAAAAAAACAAAACCAAGAAAAATAACAAAAAAAAAGCAAAAAAAAAAAAAGCTTCGGGTCGGTTATGATAAAGACTACGGAAAGGATTAACGAGTCGACGGGAGGTTAGAGCACCGGCTTGAGGAGGTTCCCTAGGATTACGGTTCGGTTTTATTCGTCCTAAAAAGAGCAGATCTGTCCCCAAAGGTCCGTGCGGCGTTGGGGCTTTGGAGGATTGCCGAGCTGAGGGCTCGGCGGCACTTTTTTTTTCCAGCAGGCACGCTCGTAGAAAAATAAACCCAGTGACCCTGCACTCGGCTGGGTTTGGGTTCTCTTTTTGCCTTTTGGTTAAAAAAGAAGAGAAAAAAAAGAGCATTTGAAGGAAAAAACAACAACCAGAAACACAAATTAAGCTTTCCAGGGGCCGGTTCCGCAGCAGGCAGGATTTTGGGGTGTTTTCCCCCATTTCCAGCGCTCTGGGCTGAAAGCTCTGGCGGTGGGGACGGCAGTGGGAGCTGGATTGTCGAATGGAGCGGGAGGCACTGGGAGGTACTGGGAGGCACTGGGAGCTCCTCCTCTGCCAGCACCCGCTGCGTCGGTTCCCCCGCTGCCGTCACCTTGGGGAGGGGGGACGTGGGCCCTTCGCGGGGCTTGCTGCCATCCCCCACGGTAGGGAGGAAAAAAAACCAGGAAAATAAAAATAAAAAAAGGAAAATAAAAATAAAAAAAAGGAAAATAAAGAAAAAAGAAGAGGAAAGGGGAAAAAAAAACGGGGAAACTGAAGGAAAGAAGCTGTGTTCATCCCCGGCGCGGCGTCCTGGCTCGGCTGCGGCAGCTCCGGCTGCGTCAGACGACTGCAGGAGAAGAAGAAGGAGGGAGCGGGGTCAGGGGGGGCCCCACCGTGCCCGCCCAACCCTGGTGCCGTCCCGTACCCGTCTCGGCGTGGCAGCAGGACGCGCCGCCCTTCAGGAGCCCGGCCGGCTTCTCCTGGCC